AAGCTTGGTGTCTAAAAACTATAATTATAAATCGATATGCAAATAGAAACATTCAACAGTGCACAGCTGAGAGAGAAACAGCTGTTAAATACTGTTAAACGCACTGATTGCAGAACATCTCGTGTTAAGCAGCTTGTTGGTGTCAGTTCTTGAAGTTGATTATTGCTACTACAGTGCAGAAACACGAGAACCAATAAAAAGGACATAATACTGGACTATCTTTATCATCAAGGCAAACATGTGCTGGGGTCTTGTCTTGGTCTGGATGCCCTCTGGTCTATGTCTATGTCTATGTCCCGGTTAGTGTGGTCTTGACTACAACACTGAGCCATTAATATGAAATAGATTTCTGGTACTGACAGGTTTACATTGCTGTATCATGCTGTATACCTGAAAAAATATATATTAAAGAAGGATTTGGTCTACTTTTGAGTTCACCAAAAACAAGTGCTTTATTGTGTGTTTCACTGTCGGAATGAGCCCAGAATTATTGGGGGTTGTTAAGACAAAGGAGAGAGTGGGTAGTGCAAGAATGTGGTCCTTTGTTGTCAAGCTGATAAATGATTTGCCCCAGTAGACCACAGCTGGAGCTCATGGCATAATGATACAGGGGTATGTGTGTGTCTGAGTGTGTGTGCTGTGTGGCTGGGGTTTGGGGGGGTTGCACAAAATTCCTGTGTGGTAGTAATGAGGAGGTCATGTGTGTATGTGCGGTGGGTGTGTTAATTTTAGCCAGCTGAAATTGGAGATTGAGTTAGCATGCCCTTGTGCTCCATTTTGGACGCTGGATGTATTGAATGTTTGGGTGTGGCTGGAGGGTGTTGTGTTAGTTCCTGCTTGATGGAATAGTTCAGGTCTTTTTAAGTCGGGTTGGATGAGGTCTTTGTCTATAGTTAGTGCTTTTGCACTGCTGGTGGAAAACCAGGCGGCCCCTTTGTTTAAGAACCAGCCTCAACAGAAGCCAAGCTTTCAACCCCTACAGACCCCGACTCTGTGTGATTTATCTTGCTTGAACTAAATCCAACCAAACTGCTTCTATCAATGAGCCACAAGAGCCTCTGGTTTAAACACTAACATAAAGAAATCAGTCCAGTTGTAGCACAGGGGTAAAGTCCCACTCTGATCGTTTTTTAAGTGTTATCAGTGGTCTTTAAATTGTGATAGTGAAGTTTTTACCAAATATCCCGTTACCTGTCATTTTTTCGGCTTTTTCTTCTGCAGAGCTCCAGTAGATCATTAGCAATTCGCCTCTGAGTCGTGGGTGGAGACAACGCTGCTCTGCACACTCATCTTCAAATTACCTTGTAGCCTAACATTGCTGATGTAGTAGAAGTGGCAGGTAACATAGGAGCTATTCAGCTCTCAGACACTAATGTCTTTGGGGACATGATGAAAGCTAATATCATAATTAGCTTTCTTATGAGTATTGCAGTCTCTATATGCAGAGGTTGGCCTGGGTAGCGGAGCTCGGGGGCGGAGGTTGGTTTGGTTACGTATGACTTCTCACTGTTTCTGAACCTGCCGTTTGGGTCTGCCAGAGATTCGCAGAAAATTGAATGAAAAAATACTCAGAAAAGCAGTTTTGCATTTAGTTCTCTCGTGTTATGTCTTGTAGCGACAGAAAAATTCCATATGAACATGTAAAAAACAACAAAAACATGATTTTCATCGGAGTGGATATTTAAGAAAAACAGTCCTGCCTCATGGAGAGTCAGTGTGGTGGTTTCACTAATGTGCTTTTCTTCCATGTCTTGTTATGCAAAGCTAAAGTTCTTCTGTTTAGTTGACCTTAAATTGATTTTCTAAATAATTTAAATGAGGCAAGTACAATCACTTTTATGTGGTTAAAGCAAAAGGCGTTCAGCATAAGCCCCCCGTGGAGGCATTCATTCATGCATGCATGAAGTGCACAGCTTACATGCATTGCTGAATGTATGGTTGTGAGATGTGCACGATTGGCTAATGTGTTTTCTGTGCATGCCTCTGCATACCGGGGCAAATCTTCTGTGGCAACAATAAATTCATAAAGCAAGTTTTCTTTCAAATCACAGCATACCCTTTTGGGATATTTCTCTTGCCCCTCTGTAACCTCCTCTTTTACTTTTGCCTTTTAACAAATACATTAAGTTGTACAGATGATACCACGGTGGGCTTGAGGATGGTATGAGCAGCAAGAGAGGGGGATGGACAGAGATATGGGGCAGAGGATATGGCCAGGAGGAGAGTAGACCCTTGGGACATGCATCCAATGTGCTGTTAACCATAACAGCCCCATAACAGGCAGATTTCTCATTTCCACGACGCCTGGGCCATATCTCATCTACCGACAATCCCACTGAGACCTGCAAGAGGCAGGACAGCGCAGTCAGCGTTGGAGGAGGGGAAGGGATCGAATGAGCTGGTTTTGGGAGGATATAGCTGAACGGGCCTTGAATTACATTTTATTGGAGAAATTATTCAGGGACAGAGATTTTAAAAAAGTGACTTCCTGGTTTCACTTCATGTTCCCCCCATTATTAAAGCTCATATGTGGAAAACAGAATCAGCCTTGTATTGGTTTTCCTACTTTGGTCTGTCTCTGAAACTGTCACTATGTCAGCCATTTCACCATTTCAAGAAAATATGTCACTGGTGCGCCTGCCTTTTTCTTGATGTACAAGCATTAATAAAAGATAGATCTAGAGCTGTGTGCCCACAAAAAAGGCTAGTGGCTCCTAATGCCTCTGAGGTAATGCCATATTAATGAAGAGTGGGCAGGGCAGGGAAGCAACTACCAGCAATCTGATGAACAGAAGGGCCTGCGGTTAACCTCTTGATTCATTTAGCACCTCTGGGTGTCTTAAAACGCTGTTCGCTTGTTCTTTTGTTGACGCGTGCCTTACCAAAGAGATCAGATATTTCCTTTTATAATGTATATCTTTTTGAATTCAACCAATGACTATAGAAGAATCTAAAGGTGGGTCTTTATAACCTAACCTCTGAGCTCAAGCTGCGGTTTTACTGTCACCTAAACCTCAGGCCAGTCCATTACAGACTGCTGCGGGGTGTCGCAGCTCAAGGAAGAACATTTATAATCATTTCCCTAATGGAATTGCAATCAGACCGAGACGCTAAAGCAGAAGAACTACTGCGTCTGCAGTGCAAAATGATTAATATGGTGGTGATTACTTAATGGAAATGATAAAGAAATTATCTTAAATGTTCTTCCTTGAGCTGCGTCACCCCGCTGTAGTCCATAATGGGCTGGCCCGAGGTCTCGCTACAAACAAGCGGCTGCTGGAAGAGAGTCGGTGAGTTGTGTTTAGTCTCTTTGCTAAAGAAATTAGGTAAAGTTAAAAAGATGTTTGGTGGCTAGTGCTGTGACTAGGACTCTATATGTACTGTTGATGAAGTTAGGTGCTGTTCTGAGCATTATTAGTGGCTATGAGTGGCGTTTTGGTTGAGGTTTGTTTATGGCTCCTCAGACTGCTGTGTATTGCTATTGTGTGGTTGTTACTAAAGTTGGTATAACTAGAGACGCAAGTGGTTGGCAACATTTATCTCTCAAGGAGGTGTGTAACTTGGTGTTACGGTGTGTTTGACCCTAAATTAATAGTACGCCGGAATATCCCTTTAAGAGGTATTAGGCTCGTAACTTACCAGCCAAATGGACCTCCTTGATCCCTGTTAGGGTCCAACATCTGACTTTAACATATCTGTACCTTGGCTATTTACTTTCTTACTTTGTGGAAAAAGTTGTTTTTCCTTGACAAGGTTGCACGTGCGCCAGTCCTGGGATACTTCACTATCAGAGGGTTCGTAGCCAGCTCAACATCCAGGCTATCTAAGCATGTATATATTTTAAAAAATGATCCAAAAGCCATGTCAGCAGTTTTGGTAACTGAGTCTACCCGACCTACGAACCCTGGAAAGGCTTCCGGACAAGAAACCTTACAAAACAAGGATAAATATTAGAGATGCTTTGGCGAAATAGAGAGGGGTTGAAGCTCTGACGGTTTTCAAGACTGATGCTGAACTGCCTTATGTTTTGCTGACCAGGTAAGCAGATAGAGGACAGGGACAGTAGGGACGGGCATCATATCAAAGCGGTGGGTAACGCTATTTGACACACAGCCAGCAAAGTGACTGTGAGCTCGGCAATCACAAGAGCTAAGTGCTACTTGCAAATTGCTAACCGTACTCATTTGCGATATCAGAATTACATATCGCACCTTTAAGTATTTCTACCTGGGCATAAGACGAGGGTCTGTTGACTGAGGTGTCCTTTGTGCATTTGTAAGATTCATATTGCCTTGACCCTCTACAGAGAAGTACAACCAAGACGGCTTTGTTTATAGAAAGCAGCAGTTTCACAGCAGAAGATGATCTGTTTGGATATCTATTGTCTTTTTCATTCATCAGGATCAAAGATGTTTCCTCACTCTAAGTTGTTAAATGCCAAAATGTGCTTATCTTTCAACACTGACAGTGACTTAATCCCACACCACTGTCCAGACAGTCTGGCTAGCCTCGTTCCCTCCCTCACCAGCTCTAACCTGTGATGTTGCATGTACTCCAGGAGTGCTAAATCAATAGCTGTGTATCATTAACCCACATCCAGAGTGAGCTGAGCTAGAGGCAGGCAGCCCGGCATCTGTAAAACAAACACACGCACACAACACGCACACATCTACATAAGCAGACCTCCTTTTTTTTAGAGTCTGCAGCATCCCTCATTTTGTCCTCTAATGTTTGGGTCAGGCTGTGTCCTCTCTGTCCATTCATAAAGAAGAGGAAAGGGGGGAAACAAGAGGAGAAGAAGGGAGGAATGGATGGAGGGAGAGAGATAAGAGGAGAGAGGGACAGAGGGAGAGACAAGGGGAGGGATGGAGAGAGTAAGCAAGCTTTGAATACAAATGAGCTGACACACAATGCATGCCCTCCCTCTCCAGATCTCTCTCTCCCTCTCTCTCTCTCTCTCTCTCTCTCTCTCTCACTCTCTCACTCTCTCTCTCCCCATCTACTCTCTCTGTCTCTCTTACACACACAGAAAACATTTTTGCTCCCTCACACACATTTTTTTCTCTCTCTCCACCTTCTCTCTGCTGCCTCATTGGACTATGCGCCGCACAAGAGGTAATTTCAGCCACTTCATTCATTAAGCATCACTGGATGTTGGAACAAGCTAATTAAAAGGAGAGTGAGTGTGTGTGTGTGAGTGTGTACGTGAGGAAGATTCAGAGACTGAGACACTGCTGCTGCCACTGCCGCTGCTGCTGCCGCTGTCTCTCACGCTTCACTGTGGACCGAGAAGGAGCTGGAGAGAGCAGAAGGAGGAGAAGAGGAGGAAAAGAGGAGAGAAGACGGCCAGTCGGAGAAAGATTTTCACACTCCTTAACCATCATCTGTTTTGACATGGCCACAGCATAGGAATCTGGTGTCACGGCAACGGTCAGCTTGGCTACAAGGTATCCAAGGTAAGCAAGGGAGGAAGGAAGGAAGGATGACTGGATAGATGGAGTGATCCTCAGCGTTGTAGCCAGAGGGAACAGTCATGCCGAGGAACTCTCTGTTTTGCATTTTCTGCGCTTTAAGTGGATCATTTCTTCCTGATCTAAGAGTGTGCCTGAGGTGTGAGTGTGGGGGTGTGTATTGTATGGCTGGGGGAGTGTCACTCTGTGGTTCTGTGTGTTTTCTGGTGGTATTCCCCAAACAGAAGCCCTAATTATCCAGCATCGGGTAAATCCTATTATGGTTTTACTCGCCTCCTTGACTTTGTCCTAGTAAAAGGAAGGGATTATCATATAGCAAAGGAAGTGGGGTGTTTGTTTATTCATAATTTAGCTCAGGTGGAAGAAAAGGTGCTTTTTGTAATGATTGTACAAGGTGTATGCCGTGCATGGAAACGTGAAAGTGTGACAAAGCATGGTGTCTGCATCGAGAGCTAAATATTAACCATGAGATAGCGGGTTACAAACGCAAAACAAATTCTGAAGCAACAGAGCTGAGGGAAGTCAGGCTTCACTCTGATGGATAGTGACAGCACTGGGCTGCAGGTAAACGGTCAAAAAAAAAAAAAAGGGGGGAGAGAGACTGTTTCTATCTTTGCTCCACACTGGAAATCGCTCTGCAGTCGGAGTTTTGAATATTTAGGTTATCCCTCTGGATGTGGCGTGCAGGACTCAGAGAACGGCTGACTGACAGCTGGCATTTTAACGCTGTGTTGCTGTTGCACCTTCTCTAATGATTCCCGTTCCGAAATACAGAAACATTTAGCCATATTATCTTTATGAAAATTATATAAAAAGCACACAGCAGCAGTAAGAGTAAAATCAAGCATGCTGTGTGTGTCTGTATGCGCGCAGACATTTGTACTGTGTGTCCTGGGGCAATGTGGTGGACTGCAGTGGCAGAGGAGAGGACATATGGCCTGTTGGGTCTCTCCTCTTCGAATGGAGCCTTTCAGAGCAGCAGGCAGTTCAAATATCCATCCACAATATGTGCAACGGTTTGTGTATTGAAACACATGAGTGTTAAATTGTTGCTAACGCTCCTCTCATCTCTCCTGCATAAAGATTTTATTCCCTTCCTGGTTTGTTTTGGTATCCTCAGCTCTCATCTCTATCTTCCTTTCCTTCAGACTATCTCTTTGACCATCAGTCTCTATCTGTGTTGGAAGTTTAGTTGAATTACCGCTGATTGATGAGTGGACTATCACATTAGGTCGCTTTTGTTGGGCCCCAGACTAATCAGATAAAAACCAGCTGGACGGCCTCTTTCTTGGGAACTCAGATGCGTGCACCAGCACAAAGATCGCTGCATCATAACTGGATTTTGCAGTGACACGTAACATGGTAATGTGATTACTTTAACCACAAAAAAGCTTCACTCTCATCAGTGGGCACATAGAACTTTTTATTTTTAGTTTAGTTGATGCATTTACTGTTCAAAGAAATGAAAGAAATTCAACTTTAAGGAGTTTTTAATGTTTTATTACTTTGTTAAACTGACATTTAACCTGAGTAAGCCAATATTCAATATTCATGTACCTCTCTCCATTTCTGTTTTTCCTCTATACCTGTACCCAGGCAGATTATCTAACTCTCTGGTTTCCTAATGCTCTGGTGCATTTGCCAGCTTGTCACAAACAACGCTCTACTGCTGTGTTTGTTTCCCAGCAGGTAGTGTACTTCGACTTCACGCACCAACTAAAAACATTTACTGGCTGCTGAAAGCATCGAAAGTAACAACAAACTGTTGAGATGTTGGCCATGCGGCAGAAAAATTGAGTTGAAACTTACGTAAAAAGCCTGCAAAGCGTTATGAAGTGAGCCTGTTCATTGTTATAGTGTAGAGAGAGTAGATTACAGCTGCTTGAACACTAAGGGCCGATCCGAATTGTCACTCTTTCCCCTTTCCCTTCGTCTTACCCCTTTATCTCTCTCTTGGCCGTCTGTTTTGAGGGCCTAGGGGAAGGGGTGAAAACAGGCTCCTAAGAAACGAGACGCCACTTGATTCCCGCTACATAAGCGTGCCTTGCCGTTTGCAGCAAATTTGTCACCTGAATCTGACAACAGTGTAGCTATCGATAGCTCTAGCTTCATTAGCTAGCTCATCATAACGCGTAATTTTAAAATGCAAACAATTCAAACATCGCTAATATTTATGTGGAGTAGCAAAGGATTGAATATCTGATTAAAAAAAACGTAAGTGTCATTACTATCAAAATCTTACCCCTTGCTTTCAAATGAGGTCCTTGTTAGGGTGACCATATTCTGACTTCCCAAAAAGGGGACACAACTACAGGGGGGCGGAGTCACAGAGTCACACAAAGTTAATTTTGAGAGTTTTTCGGGTCGGATCAAGTGTCTTTAACTTCTACATCTCTTTTGCTTCTACCTCAGTAAGTCCACGGGACACAAACTCGAAACTTCCCCGGACAAACGGGGACAGCCCGGCCAGCCCCTCCCAAAAAAGAGGACATGTCCGGGTGAAAGGGGACGTATGGTCACCCTAGTCCTGGTTTGTCTTCGTTTTAAGGACTGTGTACCCCTTGCCTTAAGCCCTACCTCAGTAAGTCCACGGGACACAAACTATAGGGGAATAAGGGGTAAGACAAGGGCTGAGGGGTGTAATCAAGATTGGCCCTAAATATGTCAGCATCTGTGTCAAATGTCTGGGAAGCTTCAGGAGATCTAGTTTTGTTAAAAGACCCCTTTGAGGAGAGCAAGTAAAAAACCCTGAAAGTGTCTGTGAAGGTTTAAAAATGGTACAACAATATAGTTAGTTTTCTATCAGTCACATGTGTGATGGTGTAAGTTGAATTTTCTTTTTTTTTCCAGAGTAAACCTTTAGATCATTGTCATTCTCATCGTTCATGAGTTTTAGGCCAATGCGCTAACTCAGAAAAAGCCACTGAGAACAGTTTACTTGTACCCGATGTGCGTGGGATAGCCTTGAAGTCTGCATTAAATAATTGGGGGGAGAAACAAGCTTAAAATTTCCAATTTTTAAGTGAAGTGGTCCCATGCTGGGTGTCCTACTTATCATGATTCATCAAAAGCTTCTCATCTTTGGCCACCCAGGTGACTCCTCCTGAAACACTGTTTAATCTCCAGGAGATCTGCCACCACCAACTCACAGCCCATGTGAGCGCTTCCTCAGCCGGTGGGCCAAACAGTGGGAGAGAGCCTCTTTGTGCTCCCACCCACTAAAGGATTGAAACACTTAACACCACCTCCCATCACTGGAGAAGAAACAGAAACAATCCTTACCTCTGTCTCCCTGTTTCTCTTTCTCTCACTGTTGGTGTCCGTTACCTGAAGCTTCTGCTCGTTCACCCTGACAGCTACCTTTTCTTTTGGACAAACCTCACACACCCACATAATGCACTCACACACTCGCACTAAGTCGTGCCGATGCTCTCTGAGAGCGGTCTTTGATGGCACACTGCGTTGTGTTGAGGGCTGCTAAGAGCTTGGCTTCATGCCTTATTCATCCCTCAGGCCTATTCTCTCTACCAGCATCGAAGGAATTAGCTGGAGAAACGCTCCCTCGCACAGAACGCACCGCTCACAAGCAGAATGGAGGTCAACCATATTGGTTTTAAATTTTCAAATTGATAAAACTACTGCAAAAACTGGTTCTAGTTTGTCAAAATAATGGTGGATGAGTAAATATTTCATGCCTGGAGGTTAAAGAGCTGGAAAGGTTTTACAACCCTCTGGTACCCACATCACAAGGCTCATTCATATTCTGAGGCCAAATCATCAAACGGGCATTTATCCACTGGAAGAGCATCCAGAGGCCACTTATTTACACATTTTATACACTCTAAACTATATTTTTTAGTGTAAATCCCCTAGAAGGGTATCCAGAGGGCACTTTTTTGCACTTCTTTATGAGATGCCTGAAGAAGAAACACATGAAACGTGGGGGGAGATGTGCTAGCAAAGGGTCATTGCTTGGAGCTGCAGCAAGGAGTAAAGCCTCACATGGGTGAAACACCAGGGCCAACTGGTGTCCCGTTTTTTAACAGCTTCTGGCGAATCCAGCAATCAATCCACAGCACTGCTTTAAGTGCGTCATAAATTATGGCTGAGATAATAATCACATGAAAAATCAAGCAACCTCACCTATACTTCGACCTTGATCTACAACGTTAGATTCATATCAAACCCTGACTTTTCCAGACATTAAAGTAGAGTTAGGATGTGTGCATGTAATTTACTTAGTGTCTCAGAGTTGATGATAGTTGCTCGCTTTTTCGGATGTTTTATTTCGGCCGAAAGATCTAGCTTGGCCTTTTGCAATGTTTCTGACAGGCATTCATACAATTAAGTTATGTTTTTCAATGTTATATGAGACAAAGAAAAGATATTTTACATTGAAGATACAAAACAATTCCTCTTAAACATTTGTCGTAATAGATTACATTTGATTTGTTTTTTGCTCTGTCACATCTAAGTCACAAATGGGCTGAAACTGCTTTAAAGGAGAGATCATTTGGAAGAGATTTTCACCCAAGTCATTTCTCCTCATTTATATCTCACAATATGTATGTGTAGATTATGTGTCCTGAAATCTTACAGTCCTGTGAGTATTCAAGTGTCTGCATTTTGTGTCCCCAATGGTCCTAAAAGTCACAGCGCTGAAAGAAAAAAATATGATTTAGGCGAAAATTGTGGAAAAAAGTATGTCACTGTCTGTTTGATGAGCCAGAGTTACCTGAATGATTCACAACTGGGCTTCAATGAAAGCCAAGAGGGCCTCCTTTAAAATGATACCAAACCCAGTGTTATAAAACACTGAAATATATCCTGATCATGAGCCTAAACCAGGAGATTCACCAGTGTCTGAGCTGCAGTTTTCATAACGGGGTGGTTTACTTCATGAGCTGATAACTGTGACACAGCTGCCACTCAGGAAAGTCTATTATTACAAAATCTTAACTGCAGACATTGACCTTTTAAAAAAACATGACAAAGCTTTTCCATTTTGAGTGGTACACCAATACCTGGTCTGACTCCTCGACTAAGGGAGCATCTGTCTTTCGTGATGTTGAATAGTCTCCTTATTTCAAACCTATCACCTGCAGAAACATCTCATAAAACCTGACTGAGAAAGAAACACCTGATTTTTTTCTGTTTTTTTGCACCAACAAAATCTCAAAACTACAATTATTTGTGTTCTTTCATTCTTTGCAACTCTTGTATGGAAGCGCAGTAGCTCTGGATGCTCTTTTATCACAATGATCGGAGCGATGAATCAGATCAATTCTGCTGAATACACCAAACCGAACAAACTCCAAATGTCACATTTAGTTTTGTTCAAGAAAACTGCTGATGATAGACTCAGAATACTGACAAGCACAATTGATTGTCATATTAGGACTATGGTTGTTGTGCTTTAACATTTTTTATTATTTAGTAGTGCGGTAACTAAACTAACAACATCAGTGTATCACAACAACAGTGTGTAGTGTGAAACAACAACAGATGTGCAAAACAAAGACATCGGGGAAAGCCCTGGATCAATCCAAAGCTCATTTGTCATAATTGGATTCCACTCAATCTGACACTCTGGACTTGATCTTAAGTTTGCTGGTGAACTAATCTGCCTAACCCTCTTTCTTCCAGGATCAAGAGACTGAGCTTGGACGGAGGGAAAATCCAAAGAGACGGAGAAAGAGATGGCAGGGGAGGAGAAGCCGGGTGTGAAGAGCAGCAGCTCCATCGTCCCCTGCTTCCTGTTTGTAGAGGTAAGACGCATGAAAAAGCTATTATTCAGCAACTACTGTCGTCTTCCTGCCATGGTAGAAAGCTTTCCAGACAGAGCTTAGCAGTTCCTAAAGGACTGGATCATATCTCTGCTTAGATTTCCTGTTTCTCTAGGCTTTGTTTTGTGATTTATCTCTGCAATTGTCTGCACTGTCGAACCTTTGTAGCCCCGAGATTTGACTTTTTATCTAATCTCCCTCCTGGACATACTTTCCTGTCCCTGTATCTCCAAAATCTGCGCCTCTCTGGTGAATATTTCAGATTAAACAGTTCACGACAGCTCAGCGAACACGCTCACTGTTGCTGACACTCCCACTCCATGTCACACAGCTTGTCATGCCTTCGCGCCAGGACTAGTTGTATCTTTGAAAAAGTGGCGTCAGTTGTTGCGCGCTGCGTTGAGCGTTTTTCAGCGTATTTGTTCACAACATGATTCATTTAGGTGGTTGTGGATGTCAAAGCACAGAGACAGAGAGAGAGAAAGAGAGGATTTCCAGCAGCTGCACTGTGGGTTGTGGAGCAGTGTTATACAAATCATGCCAAAGGTCATTTCTTTCGTGGCGGACCTAGATTGCACAGAGACACACACACCCCTGAAAGAAACACACCTACCACTTCATCCCCTGTGGAAAGCTGTCTCTGTTTTGTTTGCGAGAGCAGTCAGACGGATGACTCAGAGGGCAACAGGGAGTCCCAGAGCTTTCACCACATTGTAAATGTAGTGGAGGAAAGCATGAACTGGTGTGGTAATCAGACGGTCTGTAATCTAATTAGACAAACCAAGCAGTCAAGCAGCTCTTTTACTTCAAGTAGGCCGTTCATCAGCTTTTCAGGAGGAACCCGCTCACATGAAAGCATCTTCCTCTGATTGATTTTTATCGGAGAGGCTGTTTGTGTTTCATCATTGCTTTGCAGATGCATCCTGATATGATGACTTACATTAAATTAATTTATAAAAACCTTTTTAGATTCATTTTTACAGCTGAAAAAATATGTGCAATGTTTACTTCACTGTAAGGAGTGATTCTGATATGATAGTAACTCAAACTTGAATCTCTCCGGTGAGCACAGAGTAAGAAATGTAAACTTAAAACCTCAGATTAGTTTCTACAGTTTGACCGTCAGTCTGCTCCTTTAAGAGATAACACACGTGTATTGAAGTTATTAAATGTTAGGGGTCGTCCACTAATGGCATTTGTGTGTGTGTGGATACTGTGGCATTTTACCCCCCTGTGGTTACAGCTGTTTCACTGACTGTACTCTCAGTTAAATATAATTCAACTTTGGTCCCTCAAGACCAGTAACCCCAGTTTGAACCCTGCTGATTCTGAAATAAGTCTACAAACCACAGATTTATATAGAAGACTAAACATGCTAGCTCACTGATGTGTCTACATGGCATCCATCTTGGTGGGGGCATCCTTCTCATTGAAGGCAATGCATGTACATTGAAAATAAATCATTGTTTTGCTCATTGCTCAACCGATTTTTTACGCAGAAATATATACTATTAATACATTTTATTTTTTTTAAATCAAATGTTTAGTATTAGTAGTACATGTTTGGTCAGCTCAAAGGGGCATGTCATATCTACGTATTCATATCTATGTTACAAACTGGCATCATCTAGACGTAATTTCCCGGTTAAGGCCTCATTTCCATTTATTGTTTTCATGTTGACTCTTTAAGACCTCCTTAAATAAAACTTTTAAGGGCACTACCAGTTGAAGCAGAGGCCCCATGAGACATCTTTGGTAACTTAAAGTGTCGGTAAGAAGTGCTCTGAAATCGAGGTCTTGGGTCCTGCCTGTATAAATAAACCATTAGTGGTCATGGGCTCTGAGAGTTAATAGGAAAAACTTGCTCTTAAATTCTTGGACTTAAGTTTATTTAGTAACCAGTCCTTCTAGCAAGAAATGTTTGTAGATCCAAGAATAAATCCCTAAATTGCTAATTATAAAAATGTCATTGTTTCTCAAGGCACACCAAACTAAGGCATCAATAAGAGAACTGATTTTAGATTCCCATCCCGAATGATTATTTTTGAGTAAGACAAAGAACAGGAAGAGCAAAAGAATAAAGCATGAAACAATAGTAACACTTCCTCAACGTGCCAATGTGAGCTATTGTGTGAAGCTCCGGTCCCTTTGGTTATAGTACACTATGAAAGCTCTCCATTAGGCCACTCCGCCATATGCCTCCCACACACACACGCCACCTCTCAGCCCTCAGGTTTCAGTCAATTCCCTAACTCTGCATCTGTGAATGTGTGTCAGAGACTGTATGATAGAGAGGGAGAAGATATTTCTATCTATTTGTACAGGGAGGGAGAATCCAAGCCATCAGGGCCCAGACCAGAAAAGAGGCCAGCAGCTGTTAGATGTAATATCGGGCAGTTTTCCTCGACTTGTAGAGACGACAGCATGAATTTGTGCAAAGATAGAAATAGATATAATCACAGCATATTGTTCTGCATGTATTTAAATCACATAAATACTGATTTAATTGATTATGAGTTCATGATACATTGCATTAGTTATCAACCTTTTCCCTCCAATCCTGGACTAACCCCTGTGGTTAGTCCAGTCAAAGTGCTCATCTCTCTGCTTTCCTGTCAGCTACTACTTTCACTTGTTTCACATTTAATTCCCTCTTTTCCTAAAAAAAATGGCACAAATAATGTGGAGCAATCTGCTCTCTGCAGGAAGGGGGCTCTTTATACCCTGGACAGACAAACCACATTCAAAACCAGGTGCATTTAGATACAATCTGGCAAATAGACTCATGCAGGAAATCAGGCCACTGATTCATGATATGAACTGTGTTGAGAGGAGTTGAGCTTATTATTTATGCTGTTGCTAAGCAGAGCATAATACAAATGCCTTATACTGTGGCCTTTCTCCCTCTGGCTCCTTGTCTCTGGTCTAGCGTTAAATTTAGTACAGTAGTTTATCCCACTCTCCGTACTTGAACAAAAAATAACATATAATAGAAACTGCTATTATTTGTAAAGATTTTGATTTCTATTTGAGAAATCTACCTCATTTTCAGAACAGCATTTCTTTGTTTGATTTGCTGTATTTATTGTAGCCACAAAGAGACAAAATAACACCAACAGCTGTGTCTTCAAGTGTGAAAACCTGGCATATTTTATTTATTTGACCACATTGATGGGATGGCAATAGAACTGTTTTCCTGATAGGTTCCTCACTAAAAGGCAGCCAACGAGAAGCCAGGGGGGTACTTCAGCAGGGATTCATGTACCCTCTCTAAACGATGGGTCATTGATGATGCATGAGCTCTTGGCAAGTCTAAGTTAGCCAACAGTAACACCTTAACATGTCCAAACACAATCCAAAGCAACACTTTTTCTCTTTTGAAATGTTTATTCTCAGCCAAATCTAAGACTTGAGACTCGCATAAGTCACTCTATCACTCTGTCACTCTCTATTTTCTGGGACTGCCAAACTGGTGAGTGATAAGGAAGGTCAGTTTGTCTGTGTTAGTCTTGTGAGTCAAGCTGAAGAAGAAAAAAAAAAACGGATGAATTACTCTTAATACAACACTAGAATTTTATTTATCCTCAAAGGGAAATTAATTTGTCTGAAACCTCATCCTCCTGATATTATTACAAGTGCCTCAGGATGTTGAGTCTGTATCGTAGCTACAGTATCATGGAGAACATCACATGGAACTTCAGCCGTTGCCTTAGGTGGAGTGTGTACAAATATTGTTATGATATGACTAAACTCACTCGGAACATAAAATGTTCAACAAATCAAACAGTTCAATATCTGGACAATACAGATAATATGAGGCAAGCTCCAGTCAAATCTGAGCTCTGAGTCGGAAATTCATCTGGAACGCCCCCCTGATGTTGGATTTCCGATTTAGAAAGTCAGACGATCCTCACCAACCCCAACTTGACGACAACGTCATAATCCAAGATGGCAGCGCAGTGCATCAACAGTAAAGAAGACTCTCGTAATGTATTATTTATTAACAGTTCTGTTTTTTTTTTGTGAACTTACATAAGTGGTATATGTTATACTGCCCAACGTCTAACTGTGAACATGGTGCTATGGCGTTTGTTAAAGTAAAATACTGGTTTATGCGTTGTTTACAACTGGTATAGCTAACAACAACTAAAAACAGCTGACAACGGCTAACATTAGGGGTCCATCTTGGTTTTCTGACTTGTTTACTGGAACGTTTTCAACTCGGGTGTAATGCCATTCCCAGCTCCGACTTCCGACTTCCGAGGTAACTGGAACGCAGCATTACTAACCAGCTTCATATGATACAATCTAAAATGTTATGCAGTTCCTTTATATTATAGTAAATGAAAAGTAAAGTTTATAGGGGCATGATATGTAAAACTGTACTAGTATTTCTTCTTCCTTCATCACAGGAGTGAAGGTGTTTTTGTATTACAGTCATACTCACATCAAGTCTCCCTTAAACCTCAGCATTTAAGGCCTGTCTGTTTGTGTGTTTGCAAAATGTGACAGTAATCCATACCAAGCCAGAAGGACCTGCTCTTTTGTTTAGCCCTGCACCTCATCAGCAGTTACCATGGAAACCAATCAGCCAGTCTCATTCTCCATCTCTGCTCTCGTTCTTCTGATCCCTTTCATCCTCAGTGCCCTAATCACAAGTCACAACCTTTTCTATCAGTGCTACCCACTCAGCCATCTTGTTCTGTTGTCTCGTGCATTTCCTCCATTTTGCTTCATCATTTCCTTTTTTTTCTTTTGTCTCAGTTTTTCGGTGCAAACATTTTTTATCTAAACATTCAGAGCAGCACAGATGCTAACAAACCTTATCATTATTGCTATTTTATATGTTTGCAAATCTTCGGTTTTTGCATTTATATAAAGAACTATTCATTGCCAAAAAATTGCTTTAAGCTCATGCTCTCTGCGCCTCAGTGAAGAAGTGTAATGGAGATAGCATTCCTATTGAGAGGGGCCTCTGATCAGGCTCTTATCCAGATCAGTGGAGGGACAAACATAAAGCCTCAGTCCACCTCTCTAAATACATTTTACAGCCCTTCTGTCAGCTCCGCCAGCAGGCCGCTGCCACTTGAATTTGACACAGTATGAGCCATTGGACAATCTGAATATCACCTTTGACCTGCTTTCAGATTTAGTTGAACATTTCATGCTACAGTTCCACCCTCTGGCCTTTTCTTAACAGCTGCGATCAAGGTCAAGGATTTTTTCAGCGGCGAGTTCTCAAATTTGGCCTGAAGGATAAGTTATTTCAGGGTAAAAAAAAGGGGGGAAATTATAAAAGGGTAAAGAAATAATGCGAAAAGGTGATCCCCTTTTATTCTGCTGTTACTGTGATTATTTAAAAGCAAAATCACATTTAGAGAGGAAAGAAAGACTAAATAGAATTTGAAATGCAGGTGCAATGAGTTAAATTACAGTACATGTTTTGCTGACTATTTTTCAGTGAAGAGATATAACACTTAGAGCACATCTAAAACACTTAAAACTAAAAGGAGATATAGGTCCCAACCCCTATGACATGACCATCGGGTTTTTTTTTAACATGCTTCTGCAGTTCCCATGTTGCAGCTTCTGGGTCAGACTGGGTGTGATCATTGTTAAACCACATTTTAGCAGCCAATACTCCACACTATTTCCCCCAGAGAGCCCGGCTGCGAAAACATCAAATGTTTAGATAGATGCGTTGCATAATACACAAGAGATTCCACTCCGTATGTATTCATGTATTTGGAGCGCTTTGATCAAAAATAACAGAACAGCAGACAAACAGTGAAATCTTGTTTTTTAATATATCTATCCTTTTAACAACCGCTCCAGTATCATATTTTAATGAATGCGTCAACATGGATTAACTCCGTTAGTGTTACTGTCACTCTATTCTAATTAAGGAAGGAGAGCAGTGGAGGAAAGTTTTAACCACCTGAGGGCACTGCTGTAACACAAGATAGCTGAAGCGCCCTCACAAATCCTCCTCTTTTTTTTGCAGCCAGTTTGAGCTTTCAAGTGATTCACACTGTTTTGATACAGATTTTTCCACGAGTATGACAAAACCTTCACCAAGAATTCCTACGTCTAATTTTTCAGCGAAATTCAATTTGACGTTTAAGATTAAAAATAGGCTGAATTATTTTCATGAATGTGTCTCGTGTACTGGAGATCAGAACACCAAGGCCCTTGCCCTCAGCTGCTTTTCTGGTTTGCATCGCACATGGCTCAGTAGTGGATCCATGTTATCTCTTCAGGCTGGGCCGAACCAGAGGTTGCAAGCCCTGCTACTATTCACTCCCCAAAGGCCTGGCTCTAGGGAATATCCCCGGTCTCCTTGTTACGGGTAGGGTAGCCTCTGCTCTGAATATTCTGTTTCAAAGAGGTTATTCTGACCCCTCCTCTGGGACTATCTTACCAGGGGCTGATGCTCCTGACAGCACAGCTCCCAGATTCACTCGGGCACCTAAACCCCACGTTTACAACGAGGTGGTGATTCAAAGAGGGTTGACATGGTGGAGGATGCCTTCTGGGCAACTCCCTCTGGGGTTTCCAAGACGAGTTTAACCAGGGGGGGACCTTAGGGTGGACACAGAACCTGCAGGAGGGAGTTGGAAAGCTAAAAAGCTCACTGCAAAAAAAAGGATGGAAAAAAAAAGATAAAAACACTAAATCTGATGAAAAAGGTCTAAAAACAAGTGAAATTATCTGTCCATGCAAGAAGATAATTTCACTTGACAAGATTTCTTGAATTAAGATTGTTAAATCTAGAAATAAGCATGTCTATAAATGTTTTTGGAAGGCTTAAAGTAAGCCAACAAGGCTGGTTTTAAGATCAGATTACTTAAGATTTAACTTTTACAGCCCCAAAAATAAGTTAGATATACTAAAATAAGCATAAAATAAGTATAAAATGCTGATTTTAATATCAAATTTTGACTTTTACAGCCCTAAAATAAGTGAAATGTACTAGATTTAAGCATTAAATAAGTATAGAATGCTGATTTTAAGATCAGAGTACTTTAAATTTAACTTTTACAGATTACTAAATATAATCATAAGTTAAGGAGAGAAAATGCTGGTTTTAAGATGACATAACTTAAAAAGTAACTTTTATACAGCCTCAAAATAAGTGAAATATACTTGAGATAAGCAATTACATATTTTGTTTTCTTACTTTTTGCAGATTAAGCTGAAGATTAGTTAAACAAAAAATTGAAATGTAGAGAAAAAATACACAGTATTAGTGAAGAATGACTAAACTCTGTCTCAATCCAAGCAGGCTGATCTTGAAACAAGGCTTACTTAATCTAAAACAAGATTATTTTTGATGAGACTATAACTTATTTTAACAGTTTTCTCATTCTAAGATTCTCTGCCTATTTTAGACAAAAACGATAAGGTTGTGCTTGAAATAACATTAAAGTGTAAAGTTAAACACTTAAAATAAGAGAAATTATCTAACTAGGAAATATCTGTGGAAACTTCCTTAACTTCAAGCAAACGTATGTGTGTGTCATGTAAGAAATGTGCACACACAGTCTCTCGAGCCTCATTAACACCTGAGCAACATGCAGAGCCTCCGCCATCTTTATAAATAGGCCCAGTACTCAGGCTTGGCTGACAGGAGAGCTTTACACCTGTCACACAAAGTCTCCTCACTCAGTCTAGCCAACACTCACACATCGAGGGACGAACACAAACATTCTCAAACACCCGCTGAAACGAATCCAGACGAGCAGCCTGCAACACATGCCTCAGTATCTTGAGGTGAGTTCAAGCAAATAGAATCAGATGTAACAAGAGCAGATTTTTCGCTCTGGTTTCCAGCTGGTGAACTTCAGAAGATGTAACTTCTTTATGATGCTGCCTGGCGGCTTTAAGATGAAGCTGTGAGGCACGGAAACACTCCGACATGATGAGCATGTACACTGGCGCACAGGAAGGCAAGTGTGGTCACCGTGGCTATACTTTCTTTCAAGTAAAAGCTGTATGAACATGCATAAGGAAAAGGTTTTTATAGCACCTTTATGGTCCCCATGTGAACCTTAAGTGACAGTATCGCTGGGCAGACAGCTCGCAACACCCTGACCTCTGTCTTCATCCTTAGTGAGTAACAAAACATCGTACTAAATGAGCAATCTGATGCCAAACTTTGACAGTAAAAGTATGACGATAAATGTCCATAAATCACCATTTTACATAATGGATGATAAAAACTCTGACTAATGTTTTGTTTTTCATTAACAAGACAAGATTAAACAAGACTAAAATCACCCATCCATCCTCTGTTCTTCATTAAACATTTGGGATTAATTGCGTTGTGTACAAAGAACAAAGAGTTCGGACAGTCTTGAAAAAAGGGTCCTCAGCTGTAATTATGCCGTATAAAACCTTGGTAGGACATGAAAGCAACATGAGAGGTTTTTTACAAACTTTGGAGAGCAAATTTCATAAAAGGCTAAAATTTACTTCTTAACTTTGGTGTTCCTGTTTGCCTATTCTTATTGTACACACAGTATCAGAGCTCTTTTTACCCTCCTCTCTCACCATGTCTGTTCTCACCTGTCTCCAACTAAAACTCAGCGTGCACTCTCAAAACTCACCCTGCAGCTTTTTCTACAGCCAGCTCTTGCCGTCTTTTTTATTCACTTTCATTCGATCTCTCCCTGAACACCTTTTCCTATACCTTGCCTCCCTGGATGAACAGCAGCTCTCTTAGTTCTGACACTTTCTTGCTTCTGCTCCAAATTTTTGTCCGCTAAATACTCTAATCTTTAATGCACAGAACAATACTCCTCATCCTCTAAGTTAGCTCCAAACATTTTGTACTACTGTAATTGTCTTTTTTAGGGACATACCAGTGCACAGATACATGCAGACAGCTTTTTACTTATTAAAATTGATTTTTGGATTTAAAGTCCCACTCTGATCGATTTTTTTTTTCACCACTTAGTGTTCTCAGTGGTCTTTAAATTGTGATAATGAAGTTTTTACCAAAAATCGTGTTACCTGTGTCATTTTCAAGGGCTTTTCTTCTGTAAAGCTCCAGTAGCTCATTAGCAATTCCCCTCTGAGTTGTGGGCGGAGACAGCGCTGCTCTGCACACGTTGGCTTGTAGCCTAACATTGCCAGTGTAGCAGAAGTGGCAGGTAACATAGGAGCTATTCAGCTCTCGGACACGAATGTCTTTAGGGACACGATGAAAGCTAATATCATAAATAAGCTTTCTTGCAAGCATTGCAATTTGCTAACACACACGTTTCTCCTCTATTGCAGAGTGTGGCCTGCATAGGGGACTCCGGGGGGCGGAGCTTGGATTAGTTACATATGAAATCTCACTGTTTCTGAACCTGCAGTTTGGGTCTGCCAGAGATTCACAGCGATTTGAATGCAGAAATACTCAGAAGAGCAATTTCGCATTTAGTTTTCTCATGATATGTCCTGTAGCGTCAGAAAAATGCCATATGAACGTATAAAAAACATGAAAAACATCATTTTCATCCGATTGGGTCTTTAAATAATAAATGAATTTGCAACACTATGCATCACAGGCATCTAATAAACTAAGAAATACCTGCAGCCTTGAAGTCAGAACTTGTTCCTGTCTTCTCCTTGATGGTTTTGTTAATATTCAGCACGTTGCATTACTCTTGCTTCTTTGGAAATGTGCTGCAAATAAAGAAACCTTGCAAATTTAGAAACGTAGATCCTCGTTTGTGTAAAAGTAGCTGCAGAGTGAAACTGTAACTGCAGAAATCACCTGCATAAGAAAAATACTGCATACTAGACTTCTCAACAGAGGTGCTCCACAATGTGAAATTGCTTTTTTATTGATGGGACTGAAAAGAAGACCAGATGCTAGGCTTGATACGATGGGAAAGCAGCATGGTAGTAGGGGGTAATACTGTGTTTACTGTAGCTCGGGGGAGCTTTAAATGGCAAGACTAGCTGGTTTGGCCCCAAGCATCCTGGGGCTGCTCCCACTAAAGCCCTGTTCAGGTCTCTGGAGATATGCACACAGCATTGTGCTTGGCACCTTCCTTTTCTCTTCTCTTTTATCCCTTCAGTGCTTTCTCTATTCAATTTTTCAGAGCCCAGTGCAGACCATAAATCTCTTGGCTGTGGTTTAAATGAATGGATGTGTATCTTTTGTTTTTTGGCTTTTCATAAACTTCCCCAACTTTCTTCCCGAGTAATTTAAAGCAACTAGATAACTTTAACGTTACTCCTTATTGTGAAGTTACAACACTTTCCTAAGCAGTGGATTATATTTTGGGCCTGATCACTTGATAACAGAAACACTCTGCTGTGAATTAGCATTTTTGGTGACTGTTACAAACCCTGTTTTCCTTTCTCTCTCTGTCAATGATAAAACTGCATCACTTAACAGTGCTGTATTCTACTTCTGCATGTTATTGTTTTTGCATATTATGTGTGTATTTGCATGCAAGTGTGTAAGCTTTTGCAACATGTTTTTTATTTGCAGTACATTTGGTTTTGGACGTTTGCATTGGTTGTTGAATTTGCAGTCTTTCTGCATTTATTGCACATTTCTTCAAATTCCTCCTAACCCTTGCTACCCTACTTGTGGCTTCCTGTTTTGCTGAAAAAGCAGCAAGTGTCCACACAGCAGTTTTTTGTTGCTACTGAATTAATTATCAAGTTCTTATACAAATAAAACTAGCAAAAATAATTAAAGTCTTTGTTGACGTGTGTCAGTCCTATCTTTCGTCTTCTAAGTCCAATCCTTGTCAAGGCTCGAGTCCACAAGTTTGAGTCATCAGCGCTTGAGTCCAAGTTGAGAAATGAACCCTGAAAATCAGGACTGCTGCTGTTTTACAGCCAACAAACTCCCTGTCTAAAACCACCTTGGACTAAATAGTCATTTCATGGATACAAAATGTTGACAGAGCTGCTTCTTAGCTGCTATTCAAGCTCAAATTGTTTACTGAAATTCATAACAGTGAAAAGGGCGTATTCCAATATTTCATTGTTCTGTTTTTCAGCATATTGTACATCCTTGTGATACATTTTTGTTGCTGTTTCCAAGTAAAAGATGTTTTAATGGTTTCTTTGTCTATTGTCTCTGCCACAGTCACAGCAGGGAGTCTCTTGTATTCAATATGACAAATTAGAGATCAGTGCGGTCCACTCGGCTTTCCCAGTTCCTGCTGTGGATCTGGTATTACTTTCCTATTCCCCTAAAATAATATCATTTGGATGGCAGATTTGTTCCTGTTTGTAAAAGTGTGTCAAGGGATTTCTTTTCTTTTTTTTATATAAATATAAAGACACAGCAACGGGAGTGTGTGAGTTGGAGACCAGCCTACTGTACGTGTGTGGGAGTGTTAGATGGTGGGAGTTTTTTTGTGGCAACTCCAACTTAGTTTAAAACAATACGAGGTCACAATCTTTTCAAATCAAACATAAGAAAGTTAAAGAAATCAGACAAAAGAGTTGATCAGTGATTGGTTATGTGACTAAATTGCAGATTATCAGATTGTTATAAATGTGAAGTGAGTTAAGTTTAGAGAAGAACTATTAGCTGATGTGTTTTTAGTACAAACTTATGTTACCTCAGCAAAGATTTAAAACTTTAGACACACTGATGTTGACTGAAGTACTCCTCAAAGTTGAACTCTTACATGTAGAAATTGAGGAGTGATGAGAGTTGTCCTGCAGGTGGAGACAATAGCGTTTAAGATTTGAGCAAAACACTTCTGCGTGTTAGTAGTGAGATGAGCAAAGCAGAGGCAAAGACAGAATCTCTTTTCTCTCTACCTTCAATTCTTCCCTTCTTCCACTCTTTTCCAGTCCCCTCTTTCTCCGGGTTCCCTCTCCTCTCCCAAGACTCTTGTCATGTGGGTCGGGTGCATTGAGGCGCATCTTGATGGTGAACTTCTTAATGGACACCCATGTGTCTGATGGTGGATCCCTGTGCCTTAACGTCGGTCTGCTCTGAGTCCTTTGTCAGTAGAACATAAAACTGCTCTTTCAGGCAACACGGCTTTAACAGCACCCTGAGACACGACAGGATCCTGGGAGGAGGTGGGAGGGAAGATCCCGACAGAGAAGTACAGACAAACAGGGCAATGCTTGTTCAAGCTTTGTGTTTTGACTGTATACTCTATAGAGCAGAGGTTCTGAACCGTTTTGAGTCATAATCCCCAAGAGTAGTGGTCTAGGAGTTTGTAACCTAACCTATGTGCAAAAACAGAGCTATAGCCAAAGTCATCACATGCAACTCTCACTCAGCTGCAAGTCTGAGAGACTAAATTACATAATATAACAATATTAACAATATTAACCATTAACTAACAATATTAACTTGTTTAGGCTTAAGTAGTTGTCCACATGCAACTCAGAAGAGACTGAAAAAAACAGCAAACTGTGCAGAGGCTCATGTGTTTCAGTGAAAACACTGTAAAATTGACCAAAAGCATCCAGTCATATATTCCAATATGCTACTAGTGAACCCATTAAGTCGATTAAAGCGTGGCTTTTTTGTAACACAGACTCTGACACAGTGCAAATAGGCTACCTGTTGAAGATGTTGTTTGCTCTTGCAGTTTCCTAGCTAGGCGAGCATCTTAGGGTTCATCTGAGATACTTTTAAGTCCTTTCCCCCTGCTGTAAACATCACTCAATGAAGAAATAAAAAGTCAACTGCAGGGTTTGGAGAATCAGAAATTTTTTAGGGGATAGCTGGAGACTTGTTAGATTGATGTATTGCCACATAACAGGAAGGTATACACGAACTCCTAGTGTATACCCCTGAAAATGTCTTTTTGCAATTATTTCACTTCATCAAAATCCCAAAAGCCTATGATAGCAGGATGGAAATTCAGCCCAATATTTTGTTGGTAATTTTTACAGCAAGCATTATCTTTATCCCAGCTCATCCAGACTGTTAGTGTGTTTATAATCTATTTAAGGTACTCCTTAAATTTGAATCTCTTCAGCATCCACTCACTGAGTGATCATCAGAATAGGGTCTCGTAGTTTGTCAGTTATGACCTCCATGAAGGCTGATATCACGTGTCCTCACATGTTGCTCCTCTCGTTTTTCCTACTTTCCCTTATATCTTCTCCTACCCAAGCAGCGTTATGTCCGTCGGGCATGGCAGACCCAAAAATACTTGAGGTTTGAGCATGGCTAAAAACTGTTTAAGAGCTCCAGGGTGCGTGCCAGGTCAAGCATGCTTACACCTCCTGCTTAGTACAAAACATGCAGCCACAGACGCATATTCATCGCTCATTTCTCTATGGAAAAATGCCTCACATCCTGATGTGCATGAAGGTGTGATGGCCCATTCGTCGTCGCTTGCAGCTTTAATTCCATTTGTTCTAGGAAAGAAGTAAAAGTAAAAATAAATTATGCCCTTTAGTGGATGCAAAGGTCTCAAAGGAAGTGTGGCCAGAGCCAGAGGAATATGCTTACATGAATCATAACTGAGTCATCTGGAAAAAGACTTTCATATGTGTGCTGTTTGCGTCCACAAACAATGAAGCAAGACATGCTTTGTACAGAAGTGATAGACACGGCTTATTATTTTTGTTATTTAGAATAAAACTGCTAGTTACCTTCTCACATGAGCATGTCGTGGTTGCGTTTTAGAGCCTCTTTGTTATTGTCAAACCTACTCACTGAGCAACTTTGCCTCATTAATGTTCAATTTACAGGCCACAAGATGGTCATATGGTAGTTCAGTTGCAATAACTAATATTGAAACCTTTCCTGTGTGAAGGGAGCAGATGCAGAACTATATTTAGATACGTTCAGCACATAAAAACTCCTCTCACATTAATAAAGAATTAATATAGTTCATCAAATATGGCTAACCTTGTAAAGCTGTTCATCCGGGATTGAGGTGAACAGATTCAGATTTGTGCAAGGATGGCATGTTTTCTATCCAGGTTGAGGGAGAGAGAGAGGGAGGCTGCATTTTAAGAGCTACACTCAGTACTCTCTGTGGCAGGTCCTCGGCGTGCCGCCGGCGGTCGCCGTTCCCTGAACTTGTTCCTACAGTGTTCTCAAAATGCCTCCATCCTTCTGTGCCATGTTTTCAGCCGTCTTGATGTCGCTGCTGTTGTAAACTGGAGCCGCCTCTTGGCGTCACTGAAACAGAGGAAGTGTTGGAGGGATGAGTGGGACCTGAAGAATGACAGCAACAGCTGAGACGTAAAGGCTGAATCTTTAAGCTGTTATTTAAAATAGAGGGACAGGATGATTACTTATCATGTCAGGGTGCGTTTCTTTTCATTTTTTCAGCCGCTTATCTTACATCTCAGTCCATAGATACAACAGAAATCAGATGTCTCTTACTAGAATTAGATTCCTTTGATTGAAATTTAAAGTAAAGAAAGCTCTCTTCTTTAGAGCATCCACTCAATTACTCATTTTTGCCTTTCATTCACAAAAGATCAGTCATAGAGACAAGACTAGTTCTCGGTACGTGTTCATATATCACCTCTCACAAAGTGAAAGGTTCATTTCTTGCCGGACTTGTTGCACATTTCCAGGGAATCAGAGAGGAAGGAAGACTTCCTCAAACTGTCACGATACCTGAAGGACTTAAGCTGATTTAATATTTGTGAGTAATGCGGCTCTAGTGCGGTAATGTCTGATAATCTGACGGGTATTAAGTACGAGATGATGAAAAGACAGCAGGCTTGGAGGGAGGTGATGACACTCTTCAGTCTTCACACCCTGTAACATGCAACCTCATTCACCTCCAGACTTAAACTGTCTCGATACAGCCTTTCATTTTGACTGGCTGTTTTTGTTTGGGGGGGATGTTGATCTGTTGATCCGTTACTCCCCCCTAGGAGGTCCTTTTTTTTGCTTATGGGAGGTTAGGAAAAAAATACAAGTGTTATAATGTGATAGTGAACAGTAGAGTGTGAGTGAGTGAGTGCTAAAAGGAGAGCAAGGGATGTGGGAAAATTGTCAGAGTGTGAAAAAGCTGCTGTCACCCACATAACATAACAGGATTAATGAAACAGCTGGCAAATCTGTGCAACAACACCAGTAAATATTGAGTTTGGGAAAACATTTTATGCGCAGCGGGTCTGAATCTGTGCTGTTTGGTAATTACAAATGGCTTCAAATTCTCACAGATGATCTTTGGGCTGTTTATTCTCCAGCTACTTTTTTATATTTGATAAGGTAACATAGCAGGAAAACAATCATAGAGCCTCACTGGCAAACTTCCTGCACTATTGTATAGAAATATACATATAAACATAGTGGCATTGGGCTTAAAAAAGTAGTAAGTATTTTTTGGTAAAGCCTAGACGACTGGTCTAAAATCAGGCTACCACAGGTCTAAAAATGAAAGTTTTTAGGACATCTAAAGTTTAGACCAAGTTTTTATCTGGGCTATATCTATACTACACTGTATATTGCTCAATGGCTATCATAATTATGATGGTTAAGTACTTGTAGATCAATTATACAACTCACAGTTGCTTTTTGAAATAAATGGTTAACAAATATTGGGTTAAAGTGCAACGTCTAAAAATATACAGAATCTAGATGGTTGAAATTAGGTCTAAAAAAAAACTAGACGTCTAATAGTCATCTGTTGCTCAGTGGGACGTAACTCCTAGCTTCAAAACCGAAGCCAGTGTGATAGAACTAAAATAAACGTTTCTTCTATGGCCAGCAGAGGGAGACTTTACCAGCTCAAATCATGGACTGTGCAATGACATGGACAAATTACAGCTCACCAAAAGTGAAGCCAAACATCTAGAGCTTCCCTGACTGCAGTATGGGTTAAAACCTCTGCCTCCATAGCAACACATGGGGCAACAAAATATCCGATGTGTTTCAGTCAACAAGTCGGAAAACCAAGATGGATGCGTACTGTTAACCGTTGTTAGCTTTTGTTAACAATTGTCAGCTGTCGTTAGCGATCGTCAGCTGTTGTTAGTTGTTGTTAGCTATACCAGTTGTAAACAACCTATAAAACAGTATTTTGCTTTTACAAACACCACAGCACCATGTTCACAGTTAGACTTTGGGCAGCACAACATAAACCGCTTATTTAATTTCACAAAAACAAAACAGAAGTGCTAATAAATAATACATTACGAGAGCTTTCAGTGTTACTCTTCACTGTTGAGTCACTGCGCTGCCATCTTGGATCTTGGGTGAGGATCGTCCGACTTTCCGAGTCAGAAATCTGACTTCAGAGGGGCGTTCCAGATGAATTTGCGACTCGGAGCTGAGAAATTCCAACTTCGGAGTACATCTGGAACACAGCATTAATGTCATGCTTCTAGCACAGTGTAGTCTGAAGCCAAAATCCACGTCTGGTGACCATCAGTCACCACCTGGACATGGATTCTGGTTCATGACTTCAACACTTTGAATTTTTCCCTGAAGAAAATGCCTGATTTAAAGAAGACAGAGCGATTACTGCCATTTCGGCAGTTTAGCAATCACAAGCATGAGTCAGACCAAGTCACAATACTCTGAGTAAATGCAGGGGAGGAGCACTATTCTATCTAAGATAAAAAACAAGGGAAAGCTCCATGAGTCACTCAAATCAAACGCCCCCTCTTGCCCAAAGCAAACCCGTCAAAGAGCTTCCAACAGGTATACGTGCTACTCCTCAGTGCGAACTAAAGTACAAGCTTCAAAAAATACACACAGAAATATGAAGTGCGAGTGATTTTTGTCCTACTTTATTCAGAAAGAGTGGCGTTAAAAACTGCTCTGTAGGAACACATGCTGTTACTCAAACAATACACACCTGATTCAATGTCTTTGCTTCACCGTTTACATTATTTTAAAACCATATATTTATTTATTTATTGTGTTTTTTTCTTGTCAGAGTGATCAAAACTTAACCGTAACACATTTTAATAAGATTTCTTCATTTAACAGCAGTCACTTCATTCATGCTCCTGTCTTTTTTTTTTATGTAATCACATTTTTCATATTTATGCAGTCGGGTACGAGAGCTCAAATATCCCTCTGATCTTTTTTAGCAGACACGCGAGCTGATTGTGAGAACCACTTAAACGCCACTTCACTCTGCTGTACACAATTTAACAACACACATCTATGTATTCTACACACACACACACAAGCGCAAATGCACACACATCACCTATAAATACACCCACTGCTCAACTGTAGTAAAATTCAGTGCTGGCAGCAAAATCTGCTCCCCCAGTTTCTCTCTCTCTCTCTCTCTCTCTCTCTCTCTCTCTCTCTCTCTCTCCCTCTCTCTCTCTCTCTCTCTCTCTCTCTCGCTCTCACTCCTTTCCTCCCTCTCCACTCTTTCAGTCTCTCGTTCACTCCCTAAACAGTTCTTTGTTTTCTGGATCTTGTGCTGCCATGGAGCCTCTTTTTATTCTGTATTTTGTTCCTTTTTTCATCTCTTGAAGAACAAGCCTCCCCCTGCAGATTTCTCCCCCTCTCTCACTCTCTCACTCTCTCTCTCTTTCTCTCGGATCCTCCACTAAACCTTACTCTGAGCCGCTCTAGCTCTGTATTTCCTATGCATGTGCCTGTGGTTAAGGGGTACAGGGACCTGACTCTCCCCTCTTTCTCTTTTCTCCTCCTTCCTCTTCCTCTGCTTCTCCATCCTCTGTTTCACTTCTTGTTTTCTCACTTCCTAACCGAGGGATCATGTTCTATTTCCAGCTGGTGATCATGGCTGGGACGGTGCTGCTGGCTTACTACTTTGAGTACACGGACACGTTTCCTGTGCACATCCAGGGCTTCTTCTGCTACGACAAGACCTTCTCCAAGCCCTACCCGGGTCCAGACAACACCAGCAAGATCCCTCCTGTGCTCATCTACTCACTTGTCACAGCCGTACCCACCTTCACGGTAAGAGCTGGGTGTATATTTGTTCTTTATCACCTTCCCTTGCTGCTTTGTTGAGTTTGTGAGTTTCCCTTGGGTGAATCATCGCTTGACTCTGCGTGCTGCACCATTCAAAGTGAGCAGATTGGTGAGCTGCGTGGAGGTAACCCCTCCATCCTCTGTGATAGGCAGGTATATGTCTGCATGTGCATATGAGTGCGCATGGGTGGAGACGAAAACTGGCGGAGAGATACACAAATGACAACAACGAGTCAGACCCAGGGGATAAATAATTGATTTTGGCACTAATGAAAGTTTAAGAGTGATGGGTGAGAAAAAGACTCACAACAGGAGGTAATTTATGGGGGTCTGTTCTTATGTTGTGCATGTGTTTGTGTACAGGGTAGCAGTTGATCCCCAAGTGAGCCAGAAGACAGGGAGCGTGAAATGCACAACACCTGGCGCTGACTTCGAGCACATACACAATCCTCGCCAGCTAAAATCCCCAAAAGAAAAGTCAAAAGAGACGCAGGAAACACCAAAGATAGACTCAGCCTTTAAGCACAATACAAAAAAAACACGACTGAATAACAAGCGCAGACAAAACCAAAGCCCACCAACACTGCAAAGGCAAGAATATCTCACAATTAAAGCACAAAACAGTCACAGATCCAGTTTTTGTTTGCCGCATTAAGTGGCAAAGCCTCTTTACATAAAGTTATGAGGAAGAAGAATTGACTGTATCTATGAATAGAGTAAAAAAAACAAGTTTACAATTACCAGTGGAAATGGATCATGTTACAACTAAAGCTGGTAAATGTTTGCTTGTGTTTGCCCACTAAAAATGGGTCATGTCATGTCACTTTACTCATGCAGTAGTTTTTACAGCAACTACAGTAAAAGACTGTCCTATCCAAAGACAACATGTGAAGATGTTTAGTTTAGTTCCCTGAAATAATATAGAAAAGAAAAAGCATCTGTTTTGCAATTCAGGCTTTTTGACACAATCTTAAAGCATGAGAGGCGATTATACTGAGTTTTCCTGCAAATTCAGTGCATTAAGTTCTGAATCACCCAATAATCCAGGTTCTGTTTGTGCCTTAACTATTTTTAAATGCAATCAGACTCAGACTCAAATCATAGACTGTATTTACTATGGACAACTTGGTTCTGCCCTCATCGTTAAAGGAATTCGAAGCCGAAAAGCTCTCTGTATTTCCAGGATTTTCAGTAGCAGTAACAGTAACTTGCGCAGTAGCATTGTACACATTCGGCAGGAGAGTTGCCGAGAGTTGATGACGCTTGGCTCAAACAGCGATTCCCCATGGTGAGTTAGGCTGTATCAAGTGTCAATCATAGAAAACATGAACCCCCTAAAAACCTTTAAAAATGGAGCTGTACAGAAAAAAGAGGACTTACCAGTCTTACAGTGACTACATGTCAACATCACAACCAGGGGGAGAAAGATGTATACTCTGTGTAATAGATTTCTAGAGTTTGTCCACAGCTCCATAGGGATTGCTGGAGGAGGCGGGATTTATGACCTATACTGCAGCCAATCACCAGAGGGTGCTGTTCTTGCGGTGGCTTCACCAGCGATGAGGCAGACTCTGTCCATTCTTTATACAGTCTATGACTCAAATGCTTGGACACACCATATTCTGAATTTGTCTGACCATCATTACCATCAATCATTATTAGGTCCAGTCCTTTAGGTCTAAATATAGTGTTTTTTTGTACTCCAGATCACACCTCAGGCGTGTCTGTCATGAGCTGACAACCTGCTAAAGCTGCCGGTGGAGTAGAGTATGTCTGTGAGGGAATGTCCTTAAGCCAGTGAATCCAGATAAGAGGTTTGTCCAATTATACCAAGTGGAATAATCTACTAATAAATCTGTTTTATCGTAACATTTTCCTGTTATATCGGGGGGAACTAGAAAGTTTGACAGTGAACCCGAAGGCTGTTGATTAGATGATGTTACTTTATTTGTACCTAATGGAAGATTTGGTGCTAATAAGAAGGAGTCTAACTCTATAATACAATAAATATAAGATTTCTTCCCCTGTAATGTGCAGCAGTTTTGAAACCACGCACTATCATGCTCAACATGTGTGATATAATCAGCAGTAGTACTCTCATTCTGTTTCAGTCCACATCATGCAGACCTTAAAAGCCGCTCCAGCTGAGAGTAAATCACTCCGGACCTTGATCTGGGTCAGTGCACAATACTTACACCAGCTAGTCGGCCCTAACCTGTGCTGACAGAGGCTTTGGTGTGCGTAACAACCAGTGAGGTAGATCACAGTAGTTCCTCCCCGTGATAGCTCTGGTCTGTTGCAAATATTCTGCAACGAATCAGAGACTGGGCATCACCTGCAACCTAGTTTTCGGTATGATTGGATTGGGTTGTAAGCTCTTTTAATAAGACAGGCTGATGTGATCGCAAATAAAAGTTGGTTTGACTATCAGGTGTATGCTGGGTCAGTGCAGGAAGATAGTAACTCAAGTGTTTGGGTCCATGCCAGGGCCCCTCATACCCTGAAGTAGGCCCACTAAAGCACTCTGTCAGCTCCTAGCAGGGTCTCGACATCTAATTAAAATCATCAATCACCTTTCTAAAGTTTAGCACGGGGTACTAATCTGCTGCTTGGGAGCCTCTGACATCCCTTCAACTTGTTGGAAGTGTGCCTTTTTATAACTTATACCTGACTCATATACTAACAACTCATACTGTGGTGTTATGTCTTTGTGCTGCACCTACTTTGCAATAACCAGCTAATATAACTCTAACATGTACTTTTTCAATGTTGTATTATTCTATCCAGTTGTTGCAAATAGAACTTGCCATTTCTATACCATCAGAGGTTATAATGATTCTTTGACAGCTGTCGTTGTGATCTTGTTGAAGGGTATTTTGCGATCCTGAAATCGTGCAGCCAGTGAAAAGTATAAAGGATGGAATTTTTTTTCATGGCTGCCAGTATCAGTTATTTTTCAACAGATTTTAAAAAAGTCCTGTCTTTCTCTCAATCTGGACTTCAACACCACATCGCTGCTGGATATTGTGTGTGTTTGGGGGTTAGAGATACAAGCTGGTGGCTGAATGCAACACTCCTCTTACAGCCACACACTTAAGTTTGGAGAGTTTGTCTAATAAACTAGTAAAATCTGGGATTAATTCATTCATCTTGCACAGATTTAATCTGACAATGCCCTTTCCTTAATCTGATCATTTCCTTTCTCTCTCTTTCTTAACCTCACCTTTTCTGCCACCTCAGTCTTGTCCTTTTTCACCTTCCTTTAAAAAAATACTTATTTTTCTGATAACACATTTCTTCTTTTGTTAACCTCTCACACCTTTAGGAGTCTTTGAAGATTGTCTCCAATGTCATATCAACACCTTCTCTGCCTTTTCAGACCCTGTATGTCTCTGACTTCTCACAACTTTGTCACCTTCCAATTAACACATCATCTGTTAACTCTCAACTTCACAGCTCTGCCTGCTCCGCAATCTGGGCTCGCTCAGACAGACTCCAACCAGTTCTGTTATCCTGCTTCCTGTTTGTGTCCTTAAATAAAGAAAGTCTCACCCTGAACCATGAAAAAAAAAGGTTTACGACAAAAGGAAATCTTCAAAATGGAGACTGATGGCTGCGCAAAGATCGATGTGCTGCCTTGTTTGATAATGTTGTCCATCCTTGGTGTTATGTTAGTTATTCATGCAAACTGCAAGGAACCTTTTAATTCAGTACATAAATAACATTGAACTGTTTTATTCATTATTTTGAAAAAAATATATACATATAATAATTAGAGATGTTCCGATCCAATATTGATATTGGATATCGGTCCAATATCTGCAGAAATGCGAATATTGGATTATATCGGCCTTCATCTAAAATCTCTGATATCAGCACTCCGATACAAGCAGTCCATTCCAGACTCGACTCCAGCACCTCTAGTTAGCAGCTCCCAGATCCAGCATGCAGAGCCCAGGTGATCACAACAACAGTGTGTACTAACGTACTAACAAAGCAGCAAGGAGTAGGTGTGATGTCGGCTGTGTGGCAGTATTTTTCGTTAAAGTCCGAAAAAGACTTGTTTTGCACAAGTTTGTACCCATATCTGATCAGTATCGGTATCAGCCAATACTAAAGGCTACAATATCGGTATCGTATCGGAAGTGAAAAGTTGTATCGGGACACCCCTAATAATGATGATAAGCGCACAGTAAGTTGCATCATAGATGAAGGGTAGCAGAACTGCAGAGAAAAAATAATCAGATTATTAAATAAGATTATTTAGATGAACCACTTCAGTAATCCTGCTCGCCATCTAAACTTGTTATCTGACGGTAAACAGCTTCACAGACTCATACGGGTTTGGTTTGCTCCTGTAATCAGATTGACTGTAAGGAATTTGTTGTTTTTAGGGGATTGACTCTGAGTGTCAATGTCGCAGTCTACAGCAGAGCAAAAAAACAGAGAAGTTGTAGAAAATCAAACATTTCCTTTGTGTTAGTTTAGTTAATCTACAACAAAATAGCAGCAAATAAAATGTTTTCCTTAGCTATCTTCACTGTGCAAAACTCCCACAGAGTTTTACAGCACTGTGCAGTTTGCTCTAGTATTGCATTTTATTGCAACTGAGCGTCTCCACTCTCTCCATGCCTGACAAACTGTGACTCCTGGACACAGGTATGACAGTTACACCCAGCTTGATTCCTGGAGCAAACAAACAAAAAAAAGCTCGTTCAGACGTAGGGACTGAAAAAATGCCTCGTCATGTTACATAATGACAAAAAAGGAATGGACTTTCAATAATTTCTAGGTCATTTAGAGCCAGAACGCTGACTCTATCACCAATAAGTTGATTTTTAAACTCTCTACAGTCTCTCTCCAAATGAATGCACAATGGCAATTAAAATATATGCAAACACTGAGATCTTTTTGAGCTGTTTGCACAAGTTTAGCAGACACACGAGTGAGTGTCTTCTGATATAAGTTGCTTCAGAACATCTCCAGTCCTTTATGAACTTAAATCCCAAACTAATAAGAACAGGAAAAGACTAAAAAAAACAGTACGTCAACAACACACCATCTTAAACCATGATCTGTGCGCTTTGACCCTCAAGACAACACAATTACTGAGACAACACCTCAGATTTTGGTGTTTACACAGTAATTAACTATAACCAAACATTATTACTGCTCAAATGAGAGATTACGTCCACACTGTTTCAGAGTGTGTTTGCGTGTGTGTTTGTGTGCGCTCTTGTCCAGAGTGCCTTGAATCCAGGTTAATGGGACAGATGGCAGGGTGGGCTCCATGGTGGGAGAAGGGCCATCGGCTGCTCTAAAAACCGGGAGCATGTGTGCATTTGTGAAGGCTCTCTCACCTCTACCCTTGACTTCTGTTCGCCATTATGCTGCATAGAGACAAGAGTAAAATTCATGAGGACGGTTGTTAATGCAGGGTCAAAGCTGTGTTATTGTCGGATAGACTGAGACAGGAGAACGCTGCAGAAAGAGGAAAGGATGAAATCACGACTCAGATAGGAAAAGCGGATGTTGTTTTCCTCGCTGCATACTTCAGCGTCTCTATCTGCTCTATCTGTGCTCCTGATATCCATACAGATGTATAATTTTACACCGTCTGCAGGGTTTCCACTCTGCCTGAAACACAATGACAGCTGCGATCAAATGATAACAATCCTTCCACCCGAGATAGCAGAGGACTGAAACAACAGATCGTTTTGATATTTGTAGAATCAGAAAAATGTTCATGTTTCCTTTTTTATTTTAGCTCGCTCCTCTATTTCACCCGTTTTGTAGTTTATGAACTATTGCGTCCTCACAGCGAGCAACCCATTCGTTACCTCTCAGATGATGTTACTCCGTTATTGCTTCTTGTGCTAGTTTAGTTCAATCAATCAATCAATCTTTATTTCTATAGCACTTTTCATACAAGGCAATGTAGCAGAAAGTGCTTTACAAAAGAAAAAAAAGGAAAGAAAGAAAGAATAACTTACTCTCCCCCCACTCCACAATCCAAGCACAACAGAGGAGTGTTTTAAAATGCGTTAACTCAAAAAGGGCTCCGTTTGGTAAAACAACATTTTTATATATATAAATATATTTATAATGCCTTATAATCACATAATAGAACTATAGTTCTAAACACTCATAAATGATCATTATGCTTTAAAGCAATAATCATAACACATTATAAAGCATTTTATCATGACTTACAAGGTCAGGTATTATAATGTGTTTTGCTTATTGATATAAATTCATATGATAATTAATGAGTGTTTATAATGATAGTTATACAAGTTTATAACAAATTATAACACATCATAAATATATGTATAATGCAGTATCTATGTGGACAGTTATAACACATTATAATACCTGACCTTGTAAGTCATGAAAAAATACTTTATAATTTGTTATTATTATTGCTATAAAGCTTTATGATCATTTATGAGTGTTTATAACTAAAGTTATACAGTGCTATAACATGATTATAAAGCATTAGAAATATATTTATAATGCGTTATAGAGATGGGCGTCAAGTAAAGTGTTACCAAAACAGGAGTACGGAACACTGTAGGCTTAAGACAAACTAATATAAAATGAAATCAACAATATAGATAAAGAAATAAAACAAAGTAAAAATATACTAAAATAAGAGCACCAAAATAGCTCAATAAAAGATGATCCTGACATTAAAACTAGAAAGCAATAAATGCTAAAACATTCAAACAAAGTTAAGTTAATAATATTCAATTTAGTTAAAAGCAAGACTAAAAAGGTACATCTTGAGTTTGCTTTCAAAATAATTGATTATTAGAAACTCATGAAAACCAAAGCTTTGGCTGATTTAGCTAACGGGTTTCAAGCAGTGTTGTGCTTCAATGTGCCAAATAAAAGCATTCAGTTTAGTCTGTTTAAGTATGCATTATATTTAAGTGCATGACACTCATGTCAGTGCTTTAGGTCCTGATCACAGTTTTGTTTTCATTCTCTCAGTGGGAGAAAACTACAAAAGGTTAAAGTGAAAATGGAAATGAGGGAAAATCAAACACATCAGAAAACAACACTGAAGAGGTTTTATCTCTCTATTAGATTTTAGAAATTAACACTGGAAACAGAAACATTGAGGAGCAGATTTACAGTGGTGGCTGTGTCATTCACAGTTCACTGACTGGAGCAGCATCATTGTGCATGAATGAATATGTTTTAGTGATCAGTGTGCATGAACAGTTTGCTTTTGCACATCTTTATGTTGTGTGATCATTAAACCTCAGATGGGGTGATGCTGTTTTCTCAGCTGGTGTTATCCATCATGTCTGCACATTAAAGTAAATGCTGCTTTCTATATTCTGTCTGTGTTTTCACTCAGTCTCCTCACACCGTTCTCTTTGTGTGAGAACAACATGGGAGCAAAGGTGGTGACGATCTGGATGTGCTCAGACAGATGCAGCGCCCATCTCTATAACGCAGCGTTAACCCAGATCACACACTCTACAAATGCAGAGGTTGAGGGGGCTGTAGATCATGATGGATAATGGGAAACTAGTGACAGCTCAGCATCCCTTTGTGCTTTTCAAATGAATAACTTTCCCATTCTTGTCAAAAGCATTAGATGTTGAGGATGCAGAACTTCTCTTCAGAGACATTAGTTCTATACAGTGAAAGAGCTGCAGCCTGCTTTCTGTACGTGTCATAAAAACGCTAAACTTCAAATCAAAATGGATTACACCATCTGAAGATTGGATTCGGACCACAAACTGCGATGGGTTGCTCTTGTGAAACATGAACCATACTGGCAGTTTTGCACTTAAAAAATCATAGATAAGAACAGTCTGTGACATTCAGGCTCTTTCTCTCACACACACGGCTTTCCTGAGTCATGCATCTGACATATTTCTGCAAATGGTCCATCAGCGTCTGTTATGACCAGCCAAACAGTTTTAATATCAAAGATGTTTCCATATAAAAATAAATGGATTTCTTTCGGTCTCTCACTCACACCTGGGTCTCTAATCCCTGGGTAGCATGTGTCTCCTTATTAACTTGTGAAAGTGCATTTGCAAAGTTTGATCACAACATGCTGCAATTTCATCGCCTAGAAAACAGAATAAGTAGTGGTTAACAGCAACAAAGTGAGGACTGTACTTAAACAGTCAGTCAACTTTATTTTTTATTTTCCAATCTGATGTCAAAGACGATATCTACAGTTTGTCTTAGATGTGTTTCTGTACTTTCGCAGTTAGTGTTTCCATTGTTAAAGTGGAGCCAATGCAGAGCGAACTTCCCTCAAATCAGACATTTCATGGCAATAATAATAATTACTTCAGCAGAAGAGTTTTACACACACAAAAAAAAACAAAAGCCTGGGGATTTTTAGGCAAACATGTAACAAACAGCTGGCAAGAATGCAAATAAGCACAATCCCCAAACTGTTCCCAGACTACGATGGAGAATTCAGGCCACATTAAGAGAAAAATAATGATTAAGACTTCGAGATTAAAGTCATTAATTTACGAGAATAAAGTCATTATGATACTTCTGATAATGTGGTGCTGATGTGCCAAAAGGTAAAGAATCTCCTTGTTTGAGAAACCTATTATTGAAGTATATTTTCACAAAATGCTCCATGGCTCTCATTTCAACAACTGTCATTTTAAACAACAGGTTAGAATATACATGTAGGGACTTTATTCTAACTTTCTTCTCATAAGTAATGATTTTATTACAACTTTATTCTTGTTAGTAATTACTTAATTTTCTTAAGTTAATGACTTTAATCTCAAAGTCTTAATTTTTTCCTAAATGTGGCCCTAATACTCCGTCGTACAAATGTCTAAACTTCAATAGTGAGGTGGTCAAAGTTGGACTAATTTTAGAACCATTTTTTTTTCTTTTTTTGCTTTAGTGTATGAGACCTAACTGAATTAAAGCTAGTGCTAACAGGACCATAAACCACAAGCCTGAATATTTTATAGCCTCATTTTTATCGTCTGAAACCCGTGTGAGGGGGTAGGTCCAAGCCTTGCAGCTGAAGAAACAGCCCTGTTTTTCCAATGTTCACCTCAATTATTCCCTTTAAATGACACATTTAATTGTCAAAAATCAGTGGGATAAGTTTGTTGTCATAAACCAATTTGTAAACTGGTTGTCTCCTCCTCTCTCAGTTGGTCTGTCACTCCACCTCAGGGCTTTAGACAACCAAAATCATACTTGTAAAGCCGGTCTACCCTGGATTTGCTTCTGCTCCTATGTCCTGTCCTTGAGTCTTCATTCATCTCTTGGCTTTGATTGAAACATCCACAGTGATTGCCTTTCAATAAACACAAACTCATAAAATAGGGCCAGTCTGACTGCACTCTCATATTTGACTAATGGCCACTGACACAAATCAAAATTTGATTACTCACACACACAGAGCAGCATCCTTCAGCTTCCTCGAGCAAACACAAATGGGTCCTGTTATTTTTGCTTACACAGAGTTAATCATGTGTCGCAGCAGTTCAGTCTTACTCTTATTTCTCTTGTTTCCTCTAAATCATGCAGAACAAACCCTTAAAATTTGGGCGCTTCTCCTGCTATTATTTCTCCTGGATCATTTCTGGACTCGTTGCAGTACTTCCGTGTGGTCAGGGAGTAGACGGAATGATTTTATTTCAAGAAACGATAATCCGATAGTCCAACCACCTTGTCATATTTCATGTTGAGTCCTCGGTGGAGCAGTAAGGGCAGAAGCAGGAAGCTAGAGCACTTCCCACTCAGTATACTGAGATAATTTGGAAACCTTGGTTGAAATAATGAGCTGCATTATTCACATGGATGCCATCAATGCTTGAATAATTCATTCATGCTGTATTAGCCTTAACCCCGTCACAGCTGTACCTTCTCTTCTTCCTTAAACTCAACTCACGGTACTTTTGTTTTCTTACCCTCACTCTCCCACTCTCAGACTCCTGCTTTTAAAGGTTTAAGTTTGGCTTTAACAGTAATAGGTGGCAATTAAGCTGTGAGTTTTGCAGAGAAGAGTGCACCACTGAAGGTAAACATTGTATAAGAAATGAACAAGCAACTTAGTCTGCAAAGAGAAGCCAATCTGGAAATACCATAACCCAAACAACCCTGACCAGCTGGACATAGTGACAATACTAGACCGCTGTAATCGTGCAGTGGTATCTGGTTCCTTGGGAGCTGTGAGATGAGCCGTCCACGGATCAGTTGGCTATCCGGCACACTCGATGGATTCTCAAGTAGACTGAGGAATTTGAAGGCTAAATTGGATTCATTGCTGTGTTCCTCCAGACTACTGTCTTTCATTGCTCCTTGGTCCAGTTCTGGTGCTCACATGCCTATTTCAGGAGCCTCCAACTATGGACAAAAGGTCAGCACGGGCGCCCTGACCAGCCGTTGGCGACATGACAAGCTGTGATGCATGTGTGTTCTGATACCAGCATTAACCTTTTTGGGTTTTATGAGCTCCAGTAGCCCCCTCTGTTGGATCGAACCACTCAACCCAGCTTTTGCTCACCATGCACATCACTGACCATGTTGCTGATTTATGAGTTTTGTCCACAGTCACATGCAAAACAAATCAAACTGCTGCACTTCATAACCATCGGTGGTCAGGGATGACTCGATGACTTTACACCTAAATGTATAAAACCAAACCTGAAAATGGCCCTAAATCACGTTTCATTCCTTAGTAACATTGTCATACTGAGATTATAGTCTCATCCTGTTGTTTTAGCCTTCATCAAGACCATGAGACATTTGTTAAGAGCCTCTGCTCTATTTCACCCCAAAGGTGTTCTATCGGGTTGAAGTCAGGACTTTGTGCAGGCCAGTCAAGTTCATCCACACCAGACTTTGCCATTCATGTCTTTGTGGACCTTGCTTTGTGCACCGGTGCACAGTCATGTTGGAAGAGGACCAGCTCCAAACTGTTCCCACAAAGTTGGCAGCATGGAATTGTCCAAAATGTCTTGGTATGCTGAACCATTCAGAGTTCTTTTCCCTGGAACTCAGGGGCCAAGCCCAGCTCCTGAATAACAACCCCACACCATAATCCCCCCTCCACCAAACTTTACATTTGGCACAATGCAGTCAGACAAGTACTGTTCTCCTGGCAACCGCCAACCCCAGACTCGTCCATCAGATTGCCAGATAGAGACGCGCGATTCGTCACTCCAGAGAACGTGCTGTGATGTATGGCTTGGATGTAGCTGCTCGACCATGGAAACCCATTCTGTGAAGCTCTCTGTGCACTGTTCTTGTGCTAATCTGAAGGCCACATGAAGTTTGGAGGTCTGTAGTGATTGACGCTGCAGAAAGTTGGTGACCTCTTTGCACTATGCGCTTCAGCATCTGCTGACCCCGCTCCGTCAGTTTACGTGGCCTACCACTTAGTGGCTGAGTTGCTGTCATTCCCAAACACTTCCATTTTCTTATAATTCAGCTGACAGTTGACTGTGGAATATTTAGGAGCGAGGAAATTTCATGACTGGTTTTGTTGCACAGGTGGCATCCTAGATGTAAAAACAGTCTGCATGCCTAGGTGCTTAATTTTATACACCTGTGGCCATGGAAGTGATTGGAACACTTGATTCCAATAATTTGGATGGGCGAGCAAATACTTTTGGCAATATAGTACATGTTTAAAGGCTTGGCAGTGATTGACCATCAATCAATCAATATTTATATTGCGCCAATTTACAGCCAATGTTATCCCAAGACATCCACAAGTCACTACCATGAAAAGCTATTAGTCAAGACAGATAGGTAGATCAAATTGTCAACAAACCAATAGGCTACTTCATATTATTTTCATCTACTTCAGTAGTTTTGTGTGTTACTTTAGAAAAGTTAAAAACACATCACAGAAAACCAGAATAAGATGTACATATCTTATTTTAATGTGAGAGTATATGCTCTTTAATTGGCTAACCACCCACTGCTTACAAGCTTTGCCTAAGGGAACATTTCATCTATGAGTGACAGTACACTGAATCCAGTATCTCACATAATGTTAAAATCCTTCTGGGTCCAGCAGTCCCTATGGAAACAGCCCCCATGAACCCTTTAATCAGCCCCACAAATGCCCTTCCACAATGTGTCGTTACCCTTTACATCTCGAATATAAAGCCTCTGATCAAACACCCTCGACGCTGATGTCAGTGTTTAAGGGGTTGCCATGGAGCACACAGTGGGGCTGTGTTGCAGAAAGTGCTCGGCTTGGCGTGCACTTCACAGCAGTGTTGCTCTGATCGGCTCCTGCAAGCTATTAACTCATTTGGCTCGGCTGGACCTGCTCAGAGCTGCCCAAAACCATGTGACATGATCATTTTTCTCATCCTTGTGTGACTGACTGTCTCAGTCTGTAGTTCTTTTATCTCGACTTGCTATTCCTGTCGGACACAAGTGCTTCAGACTAAACGGGATAAATGAGGGATTATGTCAAATATGGAAAAAGAAAGTAGGTTGATTGGTTTGTGCTACACAGTTGGCGTTAAAGATGGTCATTGGTCACGGACAGAGTATGTAAACTGTTGATATGAGACCTGTCAAGGATGGTTGTTCAGTAAGAGAGCGGGGATTTGTGTCTCTGAGTGCTAATGGGCTCTCGCACAGATGAGTCTCACCTCCGAAGTTCATAAAGAGATTATCAATGTGCAAACTGCAGAAAACGGTAAAACAGAAATCACAAGAGGGATCTGACTGTAGACCTCCATTGTCAGGACCCACCTCCACTGTGAGAAACCGAGGTGCGATTTTTCTCACGCGCTCCAGTTTGTTTGAAGTAGTCATTGTATTTTGTCTTTTTTGAACACATGAATACACAAAAAATAGTATTTAAGGGACATTCTGGCGTAAAATTAATTTAGGGTCAAACACACACCACACCACAACACAGAGTTAGACACCCCCTAGAGAGATGAATGTTGCCGACTGCTTGCTTCTCTAGTTTTACCAACTTTAGTAACAACTGCACAATAGCAATACACAGCAGTCTGAGGAGCCATAAACAAACCTCAACCAAAACGCCACTCTATAGCCACAAACAATGCTCAGAACAGCAACTTACTTTATCAAGAGTACATATAAGGTCCTAGCCACAGCACCAGCCACCAAAGAGACTAAACACAACTCGCCTACTCTCTTCCAGTAGCCGCTTGTTTGTAGCGAGACCTCGGGCCAGTCCATTACAGGCTACAGCGGGGTGACGCAGCTCAAGGATGAACATTTATGATCATTTCTTTATCATTTCCTTGAAGTAATAAACACCATATTAATCATTTTGCACTGCAGACGCGGTAGTTTTTCCGCCTTAGCGTCTTGCGTTACCATGAAGAAATGAGCATAAATGTCCATCTCTCGAGGAGATGTTTAACTCGGTTTTACGGTGTGTTTGACCCTAAATTTATTTTACACCAGAATAGCCCCAAGAAATAAAATATATTCACTCAAGACCAAAAATATGTACTTCCTGGTCTAATTGTTTTTGATTTAAAAGGCTTCAAATCAACTTCAAACATTAAATTTTTTTTTTTTTTTTTTTGCTTTATTTGCTTTTATTTTGAAATCCACCTCTGGTCCGCTCAGTCGAGGTGGGTCATCACAGTGGAGGTCTGCAGCCAGACTGTTTTGGAATTCACAAAGCAACCAAACCTGCTCAAGTCAAATCATATTTATTTATGAAGTATGTAACTTGACGTTTTAGAGGCTGCTGTGTTTGGCTCTGACCTTTAACCTGCCATTTCATGATAATGTCAGTGTGTAACAGAGCTACCAAAACCCCTGATATTATGAATGATCATTTTAAACTCTGTGATCTGTGTTTTCATGTGTGCGCAGATTCTTGTTGGAGAGCTGTGTGCGTTTTTTACCAAGGCAGAGGGAACCCAGGAGAAGACCATCGTCACTGCTGACTGCTGCTACTTCAACCCCTTACTCAGGCGCATCATACGCTTCCTAGGTGAATGTGCTGTTTTGTTTCACATAGCTAGAGATAGTCTGATGAGGAGAGAAGGAGCCAGAATACAGATCGATTAAAAAAAAAAACATGACAGAAAGGATCAGCATGTATGACTGTGGCCGTGCTGCACTTCAGAAATGTGTTAAACCTCGACTGTTACATGCAGCCGTTAATTAGATGAGGAAGTTGGATATAATTTTGTGCAGATATTCAGTATCATGGCAGGAAGGAACTTGTGAATATGAAGTAGCTGATAAATTAGCATATTGAGCTGAATCAGCCGAGAAGTAGACCTCAGTTAAAATTTCACACCTTAGCTGATAATAAAGTGTCGGGGTTATTTTAGGAAGTAAAAACACATCATCTCCTCCTCCCTGTCATGTTGCCTTAACATGTTTTTATATTTGATTTCATATCCTTTCCTTATTTTTCTTCTGCATCTATGATGATGACTCTCTCTTTTCTCCTTCTTTCTGCTTTTCATCTACTGTACATTCATTTCTAGGTGTCTACGCCTTTGGCCTGTTTGCAACCACCATCTTTGCCAACGCCGGCCAGGTGGTAACAGGAAACCAGACGCCTCACTTCCTGTCTGCCTGCAGACCGAACTACACAGCATTAGGCTGCCAGTCCACCACGCAGTACATTGCAGAACGCCGAGCCTGCACGGGCAACCCGCTGGTTGTAATGTCAGCACGTAAATCCTTCCCGTCCAAGGATGCAGCGCTCAGTGTGTACTGTGCACTGTATACAGTGGTAGGTTAAAATTCGCCTAAACTGATCAGAGGTAAAAGTTGAAAGTTAGTTAAGCTGTGTAGTTAATATGTTAAATTGTAAAATGAGCACTGTCAGGGAGTGTTGTCAGAGAGAGCAACCTCGAATCTACTGGAGAAGAGTCGGTCAACTATAATGGAGTTTTTTCAATCTGTCGAAAAAATTCAACTTAAACGGTCACTGAGTGGCGGATTAAGGTTCACACTTCTTTAAGTGACATTAGATACCACATGCAGGCCTGCATGTTGGGAGCGTGGTGGTCTAGAGGGGTAACAGGGGCACTATGAGTGATGATACCTGACCATGAAGAGCCTTACAGAGTTATACAATACAGGCGAGAATTTCAAGGACTCTTTTTATCACATCATTTTAAACTTTGTTAAGGTGAAAGAAGCCTGTCATCAAATGTTAAGGAAAGTGATGCTGGACAGTAGCCTTATGCCATCGAAGACAGTTACTGTGAATCATTAGAGGTGTTTGGAGCTAAGAACAAAAACCCCAAAACATCCTTGTTTTATTTCTGTATAAGTATCGTCTGATTTCATTACATGATAAATAACTTCCCTAACTTGTGGATCTCTTCACCTTTTTTCTTGCTATCTAAATCAAATGCAGCTTCATGTCCGCCCACACTTTTGGATCCACTTTTAATGCAGTTTCTTTCACCAGCTACAAAAATCCTATTACTATTCACTGACAGTAAAGAGCAGGTTTTTTTCTCCTGAACTCACCAATATTGAAGGATAAAATGTGTAAATGAGTAATTTTCACTCTTGTTGAATTTTAACAACCGATTCAAGGAGTTTTCTTTACTTTATCACTTATTTTCAAGAAGAACAAAAAACTGGGTGTTTTGGTGTTTGTTGTTCCCTACTGTGCGTACCCTCCTTTGTGCCTCTCTGCAGATGTATGTGACGCTGGTGTTCAAGACCAAAGGGACACGGCTGACCAAGCCCACTATCAGCCTCACCCTGCTCTGTCTGGCCATGCTGGTTGGCGTAGTCAGGGTGGCAGAGTACCGCAACCACTGGGCCGACATCCTTGCAGGGTTCTTCACCGGAGGCTCCATTGCTGTGTTTTTGGTGAGAACGCTGAGGAAACTGGTTCTGCAATTCATGCGTGTCCCCAGATTTTGAGCCTTTGAAGCTAATATTGCTGTGAAACAAAAAAGCTGAACCCACTCTGTTCCCCTCTGCTCATTTGACTCCTTACAACCTCCAGGTGACCTGTGTGATTAACAACTTTAAGCAGCTGCAGCCCAGCCCTCTTCCACTACGACCCCAGCGGCCTGAGTCCGTGCTGGGCATGCCGATGGTGACGATGCCCTGCGTGGAGAGTCCACTCGAAAAGTTAAGTGGCCCTCAGGTAAGGGGTGGGGGTGGGTGTGAGGGATGCCTGCGCTCACAAAAGAGGGACTGAGATACTCACCCTTGTCTCTTACCTGAGTTTGTATTCTTCCCTGAGAGAAGAAAAACCTCCGCCTGCATGCTCCGAGACCCCCCCTTGCACCCTCACTTCCCATAAAGACACGCAGTGAATCCTGTGTGGATTCACAACTCAAAGTGGGTTGTCAGACAGGTTTTTTTGAGGGGGTTGAGGGGGTAAAGTTAGGAGGTGGGCACAGTTAATCAACAGTCTGACTAGAAGGACTCCCCACAATCCAAGTCTGGTAAAAGATGTGATCAAAACACGTCGTCAATAACAAGCTGCAGAAGAGTTAAAATCTACAAAGTCCATCTGACCTTGACTAAGATGTCTGCGATCCATTTTATCATGTAGGAGATGGGTTTGAGTCCATCCTCTTCTTCCTCAGGTTAAGACCCTTAACAGCAGCAGCTATCCTCAGTAGACATGTTTACATGTGCAAAATTTCTTGATCCAGTTAAAAATTTGAGGGATCTGATAATCTGAATCCACTGTTTATATGGGTGCAAAATCAAATAATCCAATCATGACGTGCGTATACATGCACCAAGCTTTATTCAGATTAGAAGCATTTGGAGATGCACAGAGTTTTCTGATTTCGCTAAAACAATCGCAGAAGAGTTGTGTTGACACCTGTATTGTCAACAAACCAACAAACGCGGTAGTGGCTCACTCCATCCAGTTGAGGAGTTTTCCCTCTGTTAAATATTGTCACTAGATGGCGCCTTTACATATTTATTTTACTGTTCTGTCAAAGGTTGCGCTGTGCGTGCAGATATGACATCACTACGCTGTACGTACGCCTTGTTATGTTACCGGAGAAGCAGATATGACAGCTGCGGTTGTTTTATGCCACAGTGTTAATAATGAAACCTCCTGTACTGGCCTCAGTAAATAAACCAAAGGCCAAAGAGTGAAGATCAGGTCAGGTAAGAGAGTCACAATCAGAATTAGAATAAGTGTTTACATGGACACGCGTGTTTCAGAATAACGATCGGCATAAACCATCCTTCTCGATCAGAATACAATTTCTTTCCGATTGAGCCAAATCGGATCAGAATCTTCCGATCGACATGTTAACACGACACATTTTTATTCCGATTTGGCCTTTAATCAGATTATTTGTGCTCACAGAAATGCAGCTCATGATTCAGATCGTTTGACTTTTCAGGATACGTGCCTGGTTCTGGTAATACGACATTCTATTAACTCCTAGTTAAATTTATTCTCTACTATTTGTTTTTAAATAAAGATGTTTTGGGATTCAGGTTTTTCTTTTTATTTGGGGACCTTAAACAGAAACGTTCAGAGACCCCTGCTCAGGGATGCAGCAGCGCAGTAGTAGGAGTATGAATTGTCAGTGTCCTCTATGGTCTGTCACTGTCACTAACCCTCACCTGACTGCCTCTTTCCTCTGTCTCCCACCCTTCCTCTCAATCTCCTCCCTTGTCCCTCACTCTCCTCCAGCATCCTGCACTCCCTGCCACCTCCCCACCTTACAACACCTACGTCCAGCCATTCTAACCAACTTTTGATATATTTTTTGCCTGTCCTCGCTATTCCTCACTACCCTCGTCCTCTGTTGCCTTATTTCTGTTTTTACTCTTTGCATCTGTTTCTTCTTCTTCTTCCTCTTCCTCGCTTCTCATCCCGTACATCGCTCTTGATTATTCTTTTCTTCACTTTTCTCTCTTCCTCGCCTTCTCTCTGCCCCGTCCTCTCTCTTTTTTCTCACTCCTCTCTTTCCCCTGCAGACTCCGCGGGGATCTCCGTTCACCGAGATCACATGACCATCAGCCCTATCGGTTCCCCACCACCCCCGATGTCATCATTCCGTCTCGCTCCATTTCCAGCGAAGTCTAGACCAGTCAGAGCAGCACTCGCCGCACTGTGCCGCCCATCCAGCTGGGCGGTACGCAACGCTGCATCGCTCCTATTCCACGCAGGTCTAGACCTCCTGTGATAAACACGTAAACCTCCCTGCCCTATGAACCCCCGGGGAACCGATAGACAAATTCCACAAAGACTTTCTCTTTGCTGAAAACTCAGTTAGGAGAAAAACATTCAGAACAGATTCAGGTACATCTCTATCTTTTCGTTTTGTTTGAAGACTTTTGTTGTTCCTTTTTTTTTTTTTTGGTATGAACTCAGTCATGAAAACTGTGACCACCGAGAATGTTTGACTTTTTCGTTTTTTAAACTGTGCAAATAAGTTTTCATCATCGGAAGAGAGCTAAAAGTGGTCGTTGAACTTCTTGTTTGACTCATGTGACGCGGCTTTGACATCGACAGTTCACGCTGGACCAAAAGAAACCTGCAGAAGGATCCCTGTGCTGCTGAGATTTACCTGTAAAAACCTCCTTTGAGCAAGCCATATGCACACACACACACACACACACACACACACACACACACACACACACACACAAAGGTTTACCGAAGTCACTTTTGGGGTACTCAAAAGTCCTACATCTGTGATTTTAAAATCTTTATTTTTCCAACTGCCTCAGCTTTTGTCGCTAACTGCAGAAAAGTCCCCGATAAACAGGTTATAAATGTTTCTAAGCGACTGAAGTCATACCCACAACTGCGACACTTCACCACACCACACGCTGCAGTCTGAGTAGCACTTTTGACAGGTTTACTTAGATCAAAGATTTATCTCCGATCTCTTGGCAGACAAAAGCAAAGAGGATCAAAGTACCTACATCTTCGCTTGGCTTCCTCAGCCATGTTTTTGTTTAATCTTGACGGTCGCTGCTTTGCCAAAAAAAAAAAAAATGACATGACAAACACATTTGGAAAGACAAAGCCAAGCTTCACAGCAAGCCAAACGACGTGCATCCCATTCAGGAACCAGTATTTCATGCAAACTCTGTCCGCTCAGCCAACAGGCCTGTTGTTCTTTATTTATTAATTTCACTCTTGAACATGTCTTGCTCTAAAGCTTGTTTTATCTCTGGAAGAGATCTGCTAAGACTGCCACAGTCATGTAATTATTGTGATTAATTTTGCAAAGTTTATTATCAGATTTATTTATTGACGTGTACATAAAATGTGATTGCCAGAAGCGCTGAGAGACGCGTGACAGTTTTGCTGGTTTTGATTTGCACACTCCCTCAAATCCAGGATTTCTTTCTTATCTTTCCTCTTCGTCTTTTTCCACTCTCGGTTTAGTTCTTGTCTCTGCGATGTTGGTTTTTTGACTATTATATCCCATCACTGTGCTGTGAAATGTTTCCCTCTGCTGGACGACATAAACACACACCCACACACACACACACACACACACAGACAGACATGCACAAAAGGATCAAATACTGATTTGGTGGACCACTTGCACATTGCGGCATTTTTAAAAGCACACACAAACACACACAGTCACATGTTTATCCCCCTGATTAGTTGCTGACACTTTTTGTATGATGTAAATAAATTTTTTGTAACAAGCTTGTGATTTTTACACAAGCATCGACACTAAATGAAGAGACTGGGAAACATCTTGTATTTATTATGATTATGAACCATGTGTATGAAGGTGCTGAATCACTCTTAAATAACATTAGATGTGTGTTAAATCCATCATGTGGCTCATTCTTTGAATCAAACTCAAATGAGAAAACTGCTGACTCATGGTTACAGGTATGCTGTGCGTTCATTAGCAATGAAACTGAAATTCTGTGATTTTTCAATGACAGTATGAGTTTAAAATGTGGTTGAAAGACACTTCCTTGTTGTTGTTGTTGTTTATCTACAGACACATCCACGATCAAACAGCAGATTAAGGGCCAATCCCAAATGTCACTCTTTCCCCTTACTCTTCGTCTTACCCATAGACTGTATATACTATGGACAACTTGGTTCCTCCTTCTGCCAGGATACAGATTTGAGGCCAAAAAGCTCTCGGTAATTCTGTGATTTTTCTTCATTTCCTGAAACCAACATTGCGCAGTTGCGTTGTATGCACTTCACTACTTGCGCAGTAGCATTATACGCATTCAGCGGGAGAGTTGCAGAGTCGCAGTGATGGCGCTCGGCTCAAACAGCGTATCCCTGGGTGAGCTATGCAATCTTTGTACGTCCATAGGCTGTCTCAAGTGTCAATCATAGAAAACATGAACCTTTAATAACTTTAGAAATGGAGCGAGACAGAAAAAAAGAGGACTTGAGCACAAACCAGTCTTACTGTAACTACATGTCAACATCACAAGCAGGGGGGAGAAAAATTTATATTCTGTGTAATTAATTTCTAAAATTTGTCCACAGCTCCATAAGGATGGTTGGCGGAGGCGGGATTTATGACCTATACTGCAGCTCGTCACCAGAGGGTGCTGTTCTCAGAGTGGCTTCACCTACCGGGGAGGCAGACTCTGTCCATTCTATGTACAGTCTATGGTGAAAACATGCTCCTAAGAAACGAGACGTCACTAGATTCCAGCTAAGCCATCATACCTTGCCACTTGCTGGCCGTGTCGTACGCTGATGCAACAATACCGGTAAACAAGTGGAAAAACAACGCCTACTGTTGTAACATTTAGCTATTGTAGCAATAGCAGTCTGACATCAGTGTAGCTATCGATAGCTCGTCAAAATGCACAATTTTAAAATGCTGACAGTTCAAAACATAACTAATATTTACGTGGAGTAGCGTAAGTTTAATTATGAAAATATCAAAATCATACCTCTTGCTTTCAAGTGAGGTCCCGGTTTGTCTTTGTTTCAAGGACTGTGTACCCCTTGCCCCGTACCCTTAACCTTACGGAGAATTGGGACACTCCTTGGCTTGACATGAACACGCAAAACTGAGGGCTCAGGGGTAAGACAAGGGTTAAGGGGTACAATGGGCTCTATGCACAGCTCCACTACTTCTTGAACTTAAGGCAGCTCCTTCATTTTCTGTCTTACATTATTGGATAAACTGATTAATCCAGGCGTGTCTGATCATTATGACTGCCTAGACACACCTGGATTAATCAGTTTATCCAATAATGTAAGACAGGAAATAAAGGAGCAGCTTTACATTCAAGAAGTAATAGATTGGTGCATAGAGCCCATTGGGATTGGCCATAAGAGTCAAGAAGTTCCCAAGAAATGAGTGGGAAAAAATGTATTGATTCACTTGTTGTCACTTATTGTATCGAGTGTCCAGTATCAGCCATATAAACCTTCTCTGGAGGACTAGACTGCAGGTAACCTGAGGTAAGAACAAGACATGTTTCTAATCACCTGAAATTTTTAGGATTTCACCAACTCTTAAAAGGATTGTCTGGTATTTTCGTAGTCAGGTTCTTTAAAGCGGTGGTGGTGTTGTTGTTGACAGAGCTCCAAATCCAGCCACAAGGTTTACTGTTAATCAAGAGTTATTGGATGCACCTGTGACCTTCCTCAGCTGGGAGTAATAAGCAGCGGCTGGGGGGGCCATGAGTGCTCCAGTTCAGCTGGGTTTTTGCTCCTCAGGAGGCCAACATCTTCACACAGGTAATTTATTTCCTCCTTAATCTTTTACTCTTGTCTTCTATCATTTTGACAGAGTTAGTAGGTGTCTGTGGAAAAGTTTTTCCACTGAAAATACACCTACTTTGTTTCAGCTTTTTTTGAAAGGTGCCATTTTTGTGAGTTTCCCAACCTGAGTCTGGGGAAATGTAACAGCATTTTTGGGCTGTTTGAAGGGCAAGGGTGAAAAAACCGAAAGGATACCAGCTGTATGCCATGAGTTGTGATTGCATTTTTAAGATTGACACTTTAATCCACTTTATTCTGGTAAATATTTAGGCAACATTCAGTGATGCAAAATGATTGAGCCCTGCTTCAAAAGTCCCCAAACTCCTTACTCTTCTTTTACCTGCAGTTACTCAATTTAAAACAATCAACATGATCACGCCACAGCGGACTGACTTGTGAATATGAAGCACTGATCTCTTTCCAATCTGAAACTCTGGAGGAGAGACACGTTCCTCTGATCCTGTTTCAACAAACACGTTTCATGAAAGTGTGTGATTTCACAGCATTAAAAGAGAGATTGCAGTAAGAAAAGCTGTCAGCATGTTCTGTTTCATTTGTTACAATATCTACATGAGGATTTTCTGTTCATGTATGCTGGTGCTTCTGTGCTCAAGTGCGTTTCCAGGCAGCTGTACAGTTTGTGTGTCAGGGTGTAATTGTGTTTCTGTGCTTTCATTTATGAGTTAGGAACATTTAATAAGCCTAGGGGTTTTACTCCAATCACAGTGCGAAACTTTGAAAAAGTACTGCACTTCTATTCGTTTCAGCATACAGTGCACTGTCTCTAAAGTAGTACTTTCCAAACTTTACTTTTAATACCAAAATGATCTTTTGTACTGGACTAAATGTCAGTCTACCCATTTAATCTAAATACAAGGTCCAGGGGCTTTTTCTGAAATCTAATACTCCAGGTTTTTTCATTCATTTTCATACTTTATTTCATTCGGTTAATATTTAAAATATTCAATACAAACAAGGAGAAATCTCAAACGTGAATGAAAATGAGCAGAAAGAAGAAAACTCTTATAAAGTCTGCCCCTCTTTCATAATACAGTAAAATTATCAACTAAACACAATAAAAATAAAAAGAGCTGCAGGCAAACGTGTTTTTTTTCAGTTCAGTATTTCTTATTTTCAAAAAGAACCCACAAAACAAACAGAAAAGACCACGTTAATTCATATTTTTACACAAAACAAACATACCAAGACTTTGATTAACATGTTTCCCTGTATTTACTCAACATTCTGGCTTTGACACTTTTTTTATAGATAAAATTTGATTTAGCTTCTTTTGTTTCTTTGTTCAGATTGTTCCACAAACTTATTCTTCTCACTGTAACACAGCGCTCTTTCTGTGAATCTTGGCTTTTTAAACATTTCAGATCCTTTTTAAATTATAACAACTTTATCTTTTTCAAATCGGCTCTGGATTTTGACTGGTAAATTTTTCCTATGAGCTTTATACATAATCTGCAACATACCGAAATCTACTAACTCATTGAATTTCAACAACAGCAATTTAACAAATAATGGGTCTGAGGGATCTTTGTATTGACTTCTACTAATATTCATATTGCTCATTTTTGTAAAATGAAAATCGGCAGGATGGAAGTTTTGCATGCGCTTCCTCACACTTCAACACAGTAGGTCAGATATGGAACAATAATCGAACTATACAAGAGGTACAAAGCTTTATTATCTATGTAGTCTTTTCATCACGATCAAAATAACCACAATAGAGTCACAGCAGATCTCCACAATCTATTCAATCAGCCATATGTAGAAATGAGTGTACATACATTTAATTCAATAATTAGCTATAAATATAATGAATCATATCATTCGCACATTAATTCCAACACACAATGACACAGCATTCAAGCAGTGGAGAAGACTGTCCCTTTAATCTGAAAAGAAAAGGAATCAGCCCTCAAATCTAAGATATGTTTCATCAATTATGACTCATAATTTAAAATGTTATAGCAATCATTTTATAGAAATAAAGTTATCAGGTAGGCTGTACTTTAACATCGTCATACCTGAGTACAGATAGTTTTTAAGGTCCATATAAAATATAAGAAGAGAAAATTCAGGGTGAAAAATGTGTGGGAGAAAAAGTGTTTGTTTGGGTATTAGTCAATAAAGGACACACTTTCAGAGTCCAAAGTTGTTCTAAGAGAGGCTCTACACAACTCGATGAATACCGCAAAACATTTCAAAATTTGTCATATTTATTAAAAGGAAAAACATGTCCAAATCTTGAGTCATAAATTTCATTCTATTGATGTCTCCTCTGTTATTTAGTGAATGTCTAAATAGTTCAGTTTCATTTAGTTGACAGTCGGATTACTTAGAAGAGAAACACACAAACAATTGTGCAGCAGAGGTTGAGATGTCCTTGCTTATCTTGAATGGATGAAAAACAGACTATAATTGAAAAAGCCATGTTTTCAAACATGTCCTTCAGCTTTGCTCACTGTCCACAATATGACTCTTAACATAAACAACTCAGTACTGCCATTGTGTGGTTTCCTGATACACATTCTCACAGTTTAAGTGGATCTAAACCTTCATGATTATACACTGAGTCAGAATTGAAGAGAAACATTAAACATCTCACACTCATTTTTAGAAAGTGTGAATGGATGTTTTACTTTTGAGCCAACCATCTTAATTAAAATAGGTTTTTTCATATACAAAATACCAAAATGAGGCAGAATAACATCAATTTTTTTACGTAAAATGACCTCCTCTCATCACTTTGTTACAATAATGTACCACTGTATTCCCACATAGGAATATTTGACTCTGTGCATTTGCAGATTAAATCCACAAGATGGCGTTGTACGTCATAGGCATCTACTCCTATATTCTTTGAGCAGACAATTTCAACCCAGCATTCATCTTTTCAGACATCTTACGTGCAAAGATTTCTAAAGCAGCATCTTACACTAAAAGGCAGAGTCACGGCGGTAAATGAGAAGATCTACACCTGTATATGCTAATGAGACTTAATGTGATCCATTTTCTTAATGTCACAGATAATGGAAAAAATGATTTCTACATGTCTCCACACCATCACACTGCATGTTTGATTTCAACAGCAAGTATCTTTCTTCACTCCTGAGAACACTATCCATGAATTACACCACAAAGCTGATCAAAGAAACCTTACAGTGCAGCTGACACTAATTGCCGCCAGCTCAATTCTTCAGACTTTAGAGAGATGCACCTGCAATTTCTTTTAAAAAAAAAACCTCTGCTTAACTGAATTTAAACAACCACCAAAAATACAAGTCAAAGAGGTTCAAAGGATGACGCTGTTTCCTCGCTGAAATCCCACCTGCAGCGTCTTTCTGGCTCTTTTCTCTTTTTTTTAAGCCCATACAGGCCTCATTATTGTGGGCGGCACAGCATCCTCTGTTAGTTTGAAGGAAATTTAACTCCACTGTGTTCTTCTCTGCTATCTAATTTTAGTTTTTGGCAAATTTTTGGTATATCTAATTTCAACAAGTATGCCTACTCGAAGTAAAGCAGAACCAGTCTGACCAAATGCTTTCATAGCAACGCAGTTCTACGAGGTTTTAAAGACCGTGGATAAAGGTGGAAGTATAAAAATGAATTAGACGTCTCATGTTTCAGTCTTTACTTGAGTAGTTTAAGGGGTAGCTCAAGTATGGTAAATGATGATAAACCATAGTATAAATGGTCAGTATCTTTTGTCTTGATAAAGTCATGATTCTATGTAAATTTATCCCAAAAAAAAATCATTAAATATCAAAATAAAGTTGTTGAAAATGTTAAAAATCAATTAGTTTTCTCAGTCCAGAATTTAAAGAAAATACTTTATAGAGATGATAAAACCCATGACCTCAAAATCCCTCTAAATTTAGACTAAATAAAGCACAATATGATACAGTTGGAAACTTCGTACATTAAAGCTCCTGTGAGGAGTTTTTTTTTAAATAGACTGAAATGTATCCTCTTCCCTTTTCATGATACACAGACTAACATGACCATCAGCAACAACACTGATGATTTTTTAAATAATAATTTCTCATGCTGTAAACTTGCACCAGGGGGTCGGTGTCGGCCAAACAACCGAAAGAGAAGAACTGTCCATTTAATTGAGGCAATAAATGATCGATTTCGCTGTCAAAGGTCAGTAGGATGAGATTTTTGCGCATTAAGGGACAAACAGAGCAAAGACTGCTTTGTCCACAGGGGGGCGCCAAAACTGATGCAAACAGAAAGTTTCTTACAGGAGTTTTAAATACGTCATTAACAACTGAAGTGGTTGAATGCTAGTCTTAATATAGACACCAATGAAGACAATACACAAAGGATTAATATCATAAAATTCTATCACGGCAAATATAATTGAATGATTAATTAAAAAGGGTGGATGATTTATATATAAACCTAATTTTACTGATTCGTAGTTCTGTACCATCAAAACATCTACAATGTTGACTGCAGTAGCATCATTTGTGTGGTGGTGTCAGTCTGATTTTTGAGGGATGATAGAGGCAAAAACACAAAATTCACTGAATTCATGCAACTTACAACCTCGAATGAAACAACAACTTTAAAGCAGCAATTTTCACCTCTCATCCAGGAAATTGGCTGCAAAACAACCAGGAAAAAATGGTCTAAATCTTTCTGAAATCCAGGACTCATTGTCAAAAAAAATTGGTAGAGCTACTTCACGTGGGCTGTAACAGAATACAACTAATGGAGAATGGTTGAGCCGCGTTTAGGAGATTTAACTTTTCAAGTTGAGACGTGGGCTCTGATTTATATTCTCCAGGTAGGTGGTAGGTGAGGAGGAGAGCAGAAAGAGGCACAACAGAAAATCTTTAATAACCAGACACTGGGGCATTCCCTCTAAAATCTAAAATTCCACCCAACTCTGTGTTTTCTTCTGTCTGCTGGGATATGTGTGTGTGAGAGTGTTTTTTAAGCAGGAGCTGTGTGGGGGGCATCAGTTTCCCCCCTGACAGACTCGAGGTGAGGCACAGTCAGCTGAGACGCTCCATTGAGGAAGCTGCACATGTCATCATTGTGGTTAAGTGGAGGAGAGACAAGCAGGATGAGTCATGATTGGATAGAAAGAGAGCGAGGGGAGGTAGGAGACCTTGTGAGTGTGTGTTGCTTGTATTGAATTTGTATAGAGCAGGGCACATTTTTATGTTTAATCTCTTTACCTTTTTGCCTCTTTTTCGACTCTCTTCAGATAAAAAAAAAAAAACAATAATAATAAAATCCCTGAACAAACATACACTTCTCAGATCCCAGATGCCAGCTCAATATTAATTTAGTTAAATTATAATTGTTCAGGCAGAACTTCGGGCCGACTCGATGAAATTACACATAACCGTGAGCTATTGATTTTGTGTTATGTGCAGAGGGTGTGAAATAAATTGAAAGTATTACCACAGTATCAAAGTGCGCAGCGCCGACAGGAACATAATGTACACACTTAAATCGTCCCTCTAACATGACGAGCAATTACAGATACCCAGAGAAAAGCAGCGATATTCAAGCAGGCGAAGTTGAGACTCATCCAGCGGTGGTGCGGGGTTAATTAGTGCTCTTGGTTCTAACCGAGCATGTAGGCTGTTGAAGACTAATGTTTGTTTGGACACACTGGTGCAGCGTCCACAGATAATGTCATCATTAACTATTGATGCGCTTATGTGTGCAGGCAGATAGCCTCTAAATCTGCTCCAACTTATGTACTACACTTCCTCTATCTGGGAATCTGTAAATCCCCCACATACACGCACACACATACATACACATCTCCTCCACCCCTCATGGTTTTTCACACCTTCACTCTCCACCCTGCTCTCATCTCTTCCTCTTCCATCTTTTCCATTTCTTCTCTCTCTCTCTCTCTCTTTCACTTGCACATAAGCACAAGGTACACACCGTCTGCCCATCCTCCCCTACCACCCCCAACTTCAGTGCCGCCCCCCCTACACAGCCCTTCACTACTTGCATTATCTTTCCCGGAAATTGCATTTCCAGCACAGCCAGGGCCCCATTATGAAGAGGGAGCGACATGCTGTAACCTTTTTAAAAAGCCATTAGTGATGCACCTGCCCCTCCCCCCACCCCCCTCCCTCCTTTACCACACCTACCCCTTAAACCCCCACCAACCCGGACCCTGCCATACACCCCCCTCCTCCACCACCACCACTGATTCTCTCTTCTTCTTTCACCCTCCCTGACCCCTCCCCAACCGGATTGCAGCTGTAATGTTATTAGGCCGTTTCTACAGCCATTACTCGGCCAGCTCTCTGCTCCCCCAGCTGAACATGGAGCAGATGCAGAGGGAGCAGCAAAGGCCAGTGGGCAAAGTGATAATACACAGAGGGTCAGATGTAAAGGAGGATTTATAGAAAAGGGGATGGATGGATGCATAGAGGGATAAAATCGAATGCATGTTGTAGAAAAGAGGAGAGTGGGGCAAGAACCGGGAGCACAACTGATAAAGGTAAACAATAAACCCTCTCCGTCCCCTCAACCCTGCACCCTCTTTCAGCCCTGTTATCCAAACACAAACAGGAACTGTAACACCAGACATCAGTATCACACTTGCACTAATATGTAAACATGCATACACACACAGCAGCAGCAGCAGCAGTAGCAGCAGCAGCTCGGTTCACAGTCGGCCGTAATCCTGTCTGAGGAGCACTATTGTTGTTGCACTGTCATGTAGTGTTGTAGTTGTGGACCACGCTGGCTGCATTATCGCCCAATTAGAATGCAGAGACAAGCCAAGGAGGGCAGTAAAGAGGGAAGTGAAGTGCCATGGAGCAGAGGAGAGACAGGCAGAGAGGGTTTGAGACAAGCCAGGCACACAGACAGACTCTAAATCCAATTGCATGGGCAGGTTCCAAGAAGCAAATAGTGAGAGACTGTGCAGGAGGAGGCGGAGGAGGTGAAGGAAAAAGTCCTTTTTTTTTTTTTCCCCCACATCTTCTTTGTAAAGTACACAGCAGAGCATGCAAGCCCTAATGCGGCAACTGTAGCTTTACTGTACTGTACTGTACGAGCCTACACAATAGCGTTGGCACGGTTCAGCCCACTGACTGACTGTCAATGTGATGGAGGTGCTGCACTATGCCTAGGCATTCGGAGGGACACCCAGAGGACACAAATCCATAAAACCAACCCACTGTATATTTTAAGATTCTGCCCACTTCATAAAATCCCACTATCACACAGGAGGCTGTTCATTAAAGTAATTACTGACAGGATGATGGCGCTACAGGCTGTTTTCAGAGGCGACTGCAGCGAGTGTTTATGGCTCATATTCCATAAGATCACACTGTTTATGTGATTCTAACGCCGGGCGACACCGCGTGAGATGTTTCAGTAGGTTTAGGTAAGAGAGATGTTTCTCTTTTTATTCTTACTATATCCTGTTATGACTTGAGACTGAACCATTCCCAGATGATTGAAAATATATATAACAAAAGAGTGATTATTGGTTATTCAAATGAAATCAAATCAAGCCACCAGCAAGGACGCAATTTTTTTGATAGAGTTGCAGGATTTCTTTGAGACTGAAAGTCAGACCAGGCTCCCATAATGTCCAAAAATACTGGCATAAGTGCTGTTTTCTCTAAAAAAAATTAATATATTTTTTTCGTTGGTGTGGAAAATAGTGCTAACTTAACAGGATCCAGGTTGAAAAATGTCACTGTAGTGATATCTAGCCCTTTAATGCCTTTTGTATCATATTTGATACATACTTTTATATACTTCTATCAAATCAATGTGAGCAACAAATTATTAAAAAACACCTGAATACAGTCTGATTAATGATAAAAATGTCCTCATATTATATTATCAGTTTCCAAAAATATCTAATGTATCAAACGAGATAAATAGGCGTGGGTAACCTTCCAGTCGACTTCAAAATATAAGACGTCACCAGCTCATGTGAGAGCTCTATAATAAAGCGCCATCGGGCGTTAGTGATACCTGCATACGTAGAATTCAGGGCGCTGAGCTTTGAAAAAGGAGAAGTCATTCAGGGTGGCAATATAATCACGTTGTACCACAGCAGCATTACAGGTGTAGGTGCCAACCACCTGGTCTACAATATCTATTCTACACCTCCATTCGTATGGTTGTAGAATTGCATCACTTCTGTTTTTCTCAAAGTAGTAATTTATAAGTAAAAATAAGTTCATATGTTATAGCAGCACGTATATTATGAGGTATAAAAATGATTATAATACTTACATGCGTTGCTGTGTTACTGTAAAAATAACCCTTAGGGTAGTGAGACTGCTCAGATTAGATGTGTGGATCAACAGTAAATGTATACCTGACAGTCACAGTTGATAAAAATCTAAGGTTCCTTGGGTTCCCATGTCAAAGAGAACCTATTTGATGAATACGTGGAAGATTAAATGATAAAAATTAAAAATTACAAATATATTGCAAAAAAAAACTGGTGCTGGGGTCATTTTTGACCCTCCTTATGCATTTAAGGGTTAAAATGGGAATTTCGACGTCGAAGTCAAAGCAGTAATGGTCAAAGATGATTGAATGTTGGTTTACAAGGATGTGTAAGTTTCATGTTATCTCATTACAGTAGTTTTTGAGTACTCAAATGTACAGTGAAGTCAGCCAGAAAGATTTATATCAGTATCATCTGTTTTATTCCTCCCAAGAATAAGTGACAGTTATTTCTATTTTTCTTTCATTTTTTTTTTTGTGGAATACATCTATCTATCTTTATATCTAGATCTCTCTGTCTGTCTGTACTTGGAGCCCTTTCTTTTCTCTCTTTGCTTCTTTCTCTATCTAACCCCATCAACCCCATCTTCTCTTCTCTCTCTCCAGACACCGACACCAAATCCCACAACAGTCTCCCTGCTGATCGATACCATGACATCATCAGGCGTGAACATCATCAGAGAGCTGTGGGCGAGGTGCTGACCTGAAAAACACACACACACACACACACACACACACACACTCCTCCACATACACACACTTTCAGGACCTGAGGGACTGAACCATGCTGAGCGTTAACACATCCCATCCCAAGTAACCCCTGCCTGCCCGCCTGCCATCACCGATGCTGCTGTAGTGAATCTTTCTGATGACAAGCCCGGGACCTCTTTCACACAGGCATGGACACGGAGCGAGCTAATAGACAATAAGGACATTTCCCCTGAGTGAGCTGTTGAGAGGAGGCCAGGCTGCTGCGTGTAAATATGGTCAAGACAAAGCAGTACACTATGAGACTGTTTAACCATGCAGCAGCTGTCACATTTGCACTTTTTCACCCTCTTAATCATAAAAAATACTAATCCTACAATCTATTCTTATCAGCTGTAAGATTTGGGGACTTTTCAAGCTGTTTTCATCCACTGAGGGAGTGATGGACAGACACAGTTATTACCTGACTAGGTCTGGACGTAAACATCCAGTAAAATGTCCGGGTAACTCATGAGGAACTGTCACTGGCTTCACAGGTGGCGCGGAGCCTCCAGAAAGTAGCTGAAGTGCCAGGATCAAAAGCAGAGAAGAAGTCAATATCCTCAAAGCTGGAACACCTCCCATCTGCCAAAGCTACAAATGGGGAAGTCACTCAGTGTTTATGACTGCAGGCTCCGCTGTGTGTGTTTCAGTCTTGAGACAACACACAGATACTGACAAAACAACGAGGGGCAAGGGCAGAGTGGGGACGAGCTGCACTTTTTATTATGAAGTTTGAACGTCCATAAATTGATGTGAATGTTGATGTTGAGGGAGCTATGCATTTCGATCGAGAGATGGATTAGATGTTATCACTACACTGCATTTTCTGTTTCAAATGTCATGTTTCATATTTGGTTTAGTAGTTTAATTAAAATCACCCAATTTTGAACTTGTCTGATGATCTTTCCCTGACGTTATGGTCTCTAGATATATATAGATTCAGATTTCTAGAATTTATACCAATCATATTTTATATCTATTATGTATCATGGACTTTTCACTGTAATTGTTACCTTGGCAACATTAACGCACTTGTTTAAAATGCTTCTTCCATTGAATTTTTCTTGAATATATCATTTTTATTATTTACAGACTGCTCTGAAATATAAACATATTTGCTCCAAAACCTGAAGTCTGTTTGCCCTGCATACTTACAATGAAGACACCAGGTGAGTGTTGATTTGTACTCTATATCAACCTAGTAGTCACCTTGTAAATTCACATGGCATTGGGTTGGGAATCACCAGCGGCTCCACGATACGATATCATCACGATACTTGGGCCACGATATGATAATATTGCGATTTTTAACATTTTGCAATTCAGTGAGTATTGCAATACAATTTATTGTGGTTTTTTAACTGTTTAGCTAATTTAGCATTTGGCTTTCCTTTACGTTTGTCTTTTTACTTTCATGTAGCACATCTTGCAAACCATATATACATTTGTTGTACTAACTTTCTCCTGCTCTATGGTGTCTCCTCTGCCAACCTCACTGCACAAACAGTTGGTTTTATTCTTCCATTATCATAGATCTGACTTCACATGAGCAATTAATTTGAAGAAATTGATACTTGGCAAATGCAACGAGACAATATATCACCAGACAAAATATCGCAAAACTATGCTGTATCGATTTTTTTCTCTCACCCGTAGAATTGAGTATTTCTATCTCGTATAGAAACAGGCAGAGGTAAAGCAAAGAAGGGTCTGCTTAAGAGTGAACATTATCTAAAATAATATGTTGCTGCTGTTGATAATGTGTCTGCCCCCTAATCATTTCACAAACCACTTCCTCATGCAACTTGGATGTAATTCATGATTTAAAACCATTTATGTGAGGATTTGCCCTTTTTTTTCGATAAGCCCCCTTTAGAACCATGCAATCAATGGTCATGTTTGCTGATAGTGTTTGGCTCGATTGGTAGCAGACTGACCAGAGTGGACACCAACTGTCGCTGTTTGCATTCAAAATATTTACAAACCACATGGCCATAAAACTCAGACTGGGATCAGTTATGGAAAAAAAAAAACTGTCATTGAAATCCAGTTTTGTCACAAATCCTCTACGAAGGTGCAGGTGACAGACTTCGACCGGCCCCCTTTACATCTTACTGCCAATATAAAACAAGACCAGCACGGCTTTTTCATATCATCATTTTAACAAGATAATGAGGTACAATAAGAATGTGCAAGTCCTCCAAAAAAACTGGCTATGTAAAAGAGACTTTAATTTCTCTTCCTGTAGCGGGACGTCATTTCAGCCTGTCACCCAAAGCCCAGGAGACGTAGCAGTTGGTGCATCTCACCTCTCCTTAAAGGGATATTCCAGCATAAAATTAATTTAGGGTCAAACACCATAACACCGAGTTAGACACTCCTTCGAGGGATGAATGTTGCTGACTACTTGCTTCTGTAGTTATAACAACTTTAGTAATGACCGCACGATAGCAATACACAATGGTCTCAGGAGCCATAAACAAATCTCAACGAAAACGCCACTCTATAGCCACACACAATGCTCAGAACACCACCGAACTTCATCAACAGTACATATAGGGTCCCAGCCACAGCACTAGCCACCAAACATCTTTTTAACTTTGCCTATTTTCTTTGGCAAAAACTCTCTTCCAGCAGCTGTTTGTTTGTGGCGAGACCTCGACCAGTTGATCATCATTGCTATCTGCGGTCGCTACTAAAGTTGGTATAACTAGGGAAGCGAGTGGTCGGCATCATTCATCTCTCTAACTCAGAGTTATTGTGTGTTTGACCCTAACTTAATTTTACGCGGGAATATTCCTTTAAGCTGACATGTAACGGGTCTCTGCGAGGGTCCTTATAAGTACAGTAGTGTGTAATGTAGGTGCCCTACACCGTGATCGCCTGTTCCACTTGTGCCGTGGGGGAACTCTAAGGGAATGGAAGATTTCTATTCTTCATTCTTGTCCATCCCAACCCTCCTGCCATCCCCCTCTTTTCCTGGATGGAGGGGTGCAACCCTCCCTTTACTCTCCCACTCAAACATGGCATATAGGGAAAGTGGTGCAACACAGCCAAGTGAGCCCACTGAGCCAGGTTGCTCCTCCCTGCATGTGTGCATTTGGACCGAAGTGAGCTTGACTTCCAGCCCAGGCGACCATCACCCCCTTACCCACCAGTGCCACCAGTGCCTCAACCTCCTCCTCCTCCTCCTCCTTCTCCCCTTTTTCACCAACCCTCCCTTTCCATAGCAGGTGGCGCCACTGGCAGCAGGGCAGAGAGAGGGCTTTGATTCCTAAGCCAGTGGGCTCAGTGCATATTCAAACTAGGGCCTTTGTTTGTGTTGCTGCGAGGCCCGAGTCAGACTTGCATGCAGAGAATACAAATCAGACCTTTGACAGGAGCAGTTAACCTGCCGCTAAATATAGCTGCCCTGGGTCTGAAAGAGATGGAGGGAGCACTGGAAGAGGGAGAGATGGAAGGAGCACATAGGGCACGGGGGATGTAGAGGGTGAACAATGAGGGGGATGAGGTTGGGTGAAGAAAGCACAGAACATGTAGAGTAGAGAAATGAGAAGTCTTTTATTTCCTCTATCGTCTTTGGATTTGAGAGAACAGGGAGGGTTAAGACAGAGCTGGAAAGTCTATACAGAAATGTCTGCTGAGCAACTGATGCATGCAAAGCCAGCATGATGTGTGCGTTCAGGAGGGGGGCAAAAAAGAGAATAAATAAAATACACAGAGTCTGGGAGTGGGTAGCATGGTGGGGAGAGTGGCAAATGAAAGATAGGGAGAGTCTGTTTAATAAAGCAGCAATCTTGAGGGAGCGAGGGTGAGGGAGAGAAGGAGAGGGAATGAGAAATGTGTTCATACCACAGGGATCTGAGCAGACTGCAAAAGAGGGGGGGAGAGACAGAGAAAAGAGTCAGAGAGACGAAATTAGAGAACGAAAGAGACAAACAGCCAGGACGGGCACAGGACTTTGGACTGTCCTGTCTGGACTCCTTACTTGTTCTTGGATTATTGTCTCATATCACTCGGGTTCATATCGGTTCAAAAATGACCTCAGAACCATAGTGGAAGACATAACACCCTTAATCAAGTCTGTACAAATTTGGCAATTTTACAGTAAGAATGTGTTAAAAAAATTAAACCATTGAGTGACTGACAGTCAGCATGCAGCAGGATTATGTAATACCACAGCTGTATAAGCTGCAGAGTGATACACGGTCAGATATGGTGTGTGTGTGAGTGTGTGTGTGTGTGTGTGTGTGTGCTCTGTCAGCATGGGCCCCTCAAAGATATAAAGCAAATCCACCTCTAGTGTCAGCCCAGTAAAACCCTGCATCCTGATACTATTTGACAAATAATAAAAGCATGATGAATGGTGGCGCAGTCCCCACAATGTGCCCATCTCGTCAGCAACATTGAGCCATTATGCAGTGATGGAGCGAAACCACCACCACCACCACCACCACTCCTCCTCCTCCTCTGGCCCCACTACTACAACTACAACTGGAGTACAGTACCTTTAGCCACTTCCACTGCTACACAAGGAGCTGAGTGGTGTAATCCCTGGGCGGATGAGGGGAAGTTTGGAGAGATTTGGGAAGCAGAGATCCCACTGAAGCTGCCAGTCCTCTTGCTGAGGAAATTCAAGGGGTTGAAATCCCATGGGATTGGATTAGGATGGATATAGAGCCAGTCACTGAGAAGCTGCTGTTGGGGAACTGCAATGCTCACATTGGGCCACAGTGTACACACATATACAGAGAGAGAGAGAGGGAGAGAGAGATAGTGCTCATCAATGGCAGGAAGCGAGACTTTCTTTACTTGTGCCACTTGTGCACTGGGTGGTAATGCACTCACCGTCTGTCCATCAGTTTCTGTTAGGGGAGAGTGGGGTAAGATGAGCCATTTTTCATATTTCTGATCACTACATCGAGACGATCATAATTTTGTCTCTAACTAGTGTATCTGCATATATTTCAAGATGTTGTTCATCCCTGCAAACCAACAGAATGAGTGTAAACATAACTATCTTGATAATATAGCATGCCAAAAAAAGTGGTCTCCTATGGTCAACTTACCCCGTGTATGGGGTAAGTTGAGCTGTATCCCTACTACACCCCACTCTCCACCCCAGCCCTCCCTCACCTTCTCTCTCCCTAAAAAACAGTCACTTCTTCACATCCATGTGTATTTTTATCTATTATAAGCTATTTAACTGGTACAATAATTCTTTTTATTATTATTGCATATACCCCACCAAACATCGGACGTTGAAGAGATCAAGTCAGTCTTGGGTCGGTCTGACGTTTAGAATTTGGACGTCATCTGAAGACCGAATCTAGATGTCGGCACAACGTGCAAAATGGGTCCAAGATTTAGACGTCATTATCGGACCTCTTTTAGACGTTGAAATGACGTCCGCATTTGTACCTCATCGTCGAAAAAATACATGAAACAGATGTCATTTCGACGTCACATTGCGCGGTGTTAACTGCTAAAAAAGCTGTTTTGTAAAAATCCATTTTAACATGAGAATGTCTTTAAGTGATTCAGAACATTCACAGCTGTAAAAGACAAAGTAAAACATTTCAACAATCTGAACTAAAACTCTGATCTTCTCATCAGACTTCTTTACTTTCTTAGTTGAGTCACTGGCTCAATTTACCCCAGAACTACTATGATGACTTTATTAGTCCTCTAAACTAAAATGATGGACTTTTATGTTAGGTTTTTGACCTCATGTTGTAGCTCATAGATACCACAACTGATGTGTTTAAAACAAATTTAAAATGATCTTTTTTGGTCTGAACACAATTCTGATAAAACCTATGACAGACTAAATTCACTTTCAAGAGTGAAAAATGTTCACAACCTTCACAGACTCCATGAATTGATGCCCATCTCTTAAATATTTGGTCACATGATCAATTTCTTTAACCATTTCCAAGCAACAGGGGGTGGCTCAACTTACCCTTTGGCTCAACTTACCCCACTCTCCCCTATACAGAGAGAGAATGAGAGGGAGATAGTGCTCATCAATGGCAGGCAGTGAGACTTTCTTTACTTGTGCCACTTGTGCACTGGGCGGTAATGCACTCACCGTCTGTCCATCAGTTTCTATTATGTGCTGCTGCTGCTGCTGGAAAACACCCTTTTTAAAGAGAAAGAAGAGTCTGATTTTTATTCACAATGGTTATTTTTGAAGCAAGGGGAGGCGGGGCCCGGAATTAATAACAGAAAATGTCCATCAATCGGCCCAGAATTGAAATGCGGGACCATCTGTAATTTTGAAAAGTTAATTAGCCTAACGCGCCACGCGGTCATGTTCAGGGCAAACGGCTCCAAAGCAGAGCTCTCCAGGCAGCCTGCCACTGACTAATGAGTGTCTCCCGGTGTGCAGGTTTATCATCTGAACACTTTGGTGAAGGTTACATTTGAATAATTTCCAAGCTTTAGTTAGAGACTATTGTTTAATGTGTTTATTAAAGCCTAGTTGAATTAAGACACTGAGACAAAGGAGAACAAGAACACTGAGAGGAGCTTTTACGCACAGATTTACATGCAATTTTACTTGATTGGTAAAATTGTTATGCTTAGATTTGCACCTGATACATCCTCCTGCAGGGTATCCGGGTTGTCACCACATCCCGTCCAGTGAGCATAACCCTCACTGGGATGTGTGTGTGTGTGTGAGCTTCAATCTCCTTCCTCTCCTCTCTGTGAAGCCACAGCCGTAGAGTCGCCTCCGCCGCGCCCCTTTGACCACGCTTGATTCGCAACAATGGGAGGACAGGAGAGCGAGAGAGGAGAGAGAGAGAGAGAGGTCTGAGATTCCAGGATCTAAAGGGAGGAGGATAAAGGGTGTAGAGTGTCTGCCTCTCGGATCTTTTCCCTTTTTTACCTTCCTTTTTTTTCCAAACAGGGGTGAGGCTTTTGGAAGAGAAAAGGAGAGCTGGAAGGAAAAAGAGAGTTAGTAGAAAGGGGGCGTCTCCCCCTCACTCTCTGTGATTTCCAGATATTACCAATACCATCGAGTTGAACGTGTGTGAGGATGGATTGACAGACTTTCAACAATGGGGTGAGTAATCAATCCTCTCGAGATGCTGCTGCTACTGCTGCCTCTGCTGCCTTTTCCATACAATCACGTCGGACTTGAATGGTGTGTAATTGAATTATGGCACAACTGAAAGTCACGCACAAACGTGTGGCCAACATGGCTCCAGTGCTGTATGTAGAGCTGACAGCTCTGTCAGGTGGGCTTTCTTCAAATGTTTGACCAGCGTCCATAAAGACTCGCCTCTCTGTGAAAGCACCAAGGAGGAGGAGGAGGAGGAAGAGGAGGAGGAGAAGGGGAGAGAGGAGGAAAAAAAAGCGCTCACTGTATTTGAGTCGCATTGAACAGCGGTGTCTCGGCTCGCCTTTCCTTACTCTTTATGTGTCATTTTCACAGATTCATTCATGATTTTTCCCAGTGTAGTATTTTCCAGCTCGCTCGGCAGTTCTTCCTTCTTCGTCTCTGCGAGGCTAAAGTGAGATTTAAGAGTTTGGCTCCGCTTGTTGCTCACGTTTGCTTCTCTTGAGTGAACGGCCTGCACTGTGTACTGCAGATGTGAGTGATTTTATTTTCCTTTTCCAATCAAACATTTCTTAAAATGACTTTAAAAAGTACTTCAATGTGGGTAAAAATCTGATAAATGCTGGTTTTGTTGGGTGTTTGGCCTTCAGTGCTTCTTGAATTGAACCAAAATTCACTTCATGATGAATCCATCAGGCATTTCATCATGAAATCGAGTTTTACTGGATGCTGCCAGACTAAACAGTGTACGCTCATGTTTTTGTGGATGTATGTCTACTCCAGGCTCTCAGGCCCTCATCTCGCAGTCTCTTTTATGTTGCATGCGAGCTGGTGTTAGTTTTCTGTCAGCATCCATGTGGGCTTAACACTGCACTTTAACTCCACGAAGCTGCTGTCACACAAGGACTCTTAAAACCAGCTCTTCAATTGATAGGTTTCAGGTCACTTCAATGGAATATGCAAGATTTCAGCCAGTGGATTCAATATGTATCAGAGCGAATTCTCCCTATAGCCTTTAATTGATTGAATTGGCTGCATTTGCAATTTAATCTGCGGCTCCTCTGTGTTTGTGAGAACATGTGGCAGCACATGTGTGTGCTAAAGAGAAGGCACATCAATTTGAATGAGTTTATCTGTGTATGTGTGAGCGTGTGTGTGTGTGAGTGTGTGTGTGTGTGTGTGAACCTCCCTGCCTGCCTCTCAGCGTGCGTGTGCTCAGCCCCTCAGGCACGTTGGCAAGCATGAACTCCCTGAACTCAATCCTTGTCCATTAAATTCCTATTGATCAAGCAGCAGAGAGAGACATAAAGTTCCATCTCCTCAGTTTCATGTGGGCTCAGCGAGGAGCGGGCTCTCTCTCTCTCTCTCTCTCTCTCTCTCTCTCTCTCTGTCATTTAGGCTTTCTGCTCCCCCCTTTACTATAAAGAGGAAAGGAAAGAACAGAGGAGAGGAGATGCAAACAGGGAAAAGGAGGAAAGAGAAGGAAATAGGATTGGATGAATCAATTAGGAAGGATGAAGAGGGAAAACAGTTGGTTACTAAATTGCACATAGATGCATGTGTGTGTTGTTGTTGTTGTTGAATGTATTGATTGCAAACCATTTGTTTGGGTATTTGCACCTTTTAACAATCCCATGTTTTATTTACTTTGTGTGTGTGTGTGTGTGCGCGCATATGTGTGCATGTGTGTGAGAAGACTTCCATTTAGTAACCCAGCACAGCGGCACATATCTGTCCACTGGGAGCTGTCCTTGGTTCTGATCCGTGGCCCCACTCTCCTCCTTCACTCTCCTGCAGCCCACCACTTATCTACACACACACACACACGCACACACTTTTAACCCCCCTACTTCCCCCCCCAATCACCTCCTCTCCCTCTCTCTCCCCCCCGTGTTTCCACCCTGTTGATTGACATCCACATACTCTCCATTTGGCTCGCTAAAGGCTGCATTTGTGTGTGTGTGTACATCCGTGTAGTTTTTTCGGGTGGTGTGGGGGGAGGGACTGGGCCGTCCTCAGAGGGTCTTGAGCAAAGAGGATGCTGGGTGAAAAGAGAAAAAACCAAGGAGTGAGAGTAGGAAAAACAAAACATCTGTGTGGTAATTGGGCTCCCCTTAGTATTGTAACGCATACATTGACATCTGTTTGATAATTGGCTACCCAGGCTCCTTGGAGTGTGTCATGCTAAATGCCGGTTTGGTGAAGAGGAAGAGAAAGAAAGGGATGAGGAGGGGTGAGGATGTGTATGTGTTGGTGTGTGTCTATACCAATGGGGGAAGGGATGCTTGGATTTGTATAGTAAGAGCTCCACAGGTCTCTTGTTC